AGCACTCACCGGGAAGAAGAGGAGGGGATGGAAAGCAGTGGCAGTAGCTCCGAGACTGATGTGACAGTGGGACCGCCAGATTCCACATCTTACCTGAGGAAACGTTACTCTTCGCCATTGAAGAAGAGTTCTAAAGGGAAGCCAGACACTCAGTCGCCGGACACAAAGTCGCTGGATTTGGGGATAGTGTTTAGAGCGGGAGGTGAGGGTGGAGAGGAGGACGAGAGAGACCCACTGTCTGCTGGAGGAGCCAGTGTGGAGAGGGCCGGAGAGGAGCAACCCAGATCCGTGCCCTCGTTTCTGAAGGAGGTTCTGGAAAGAGGTCATATTCACCCAACACGAGTGGGCCTCTGGAGACTCCAGAAAGGTGGGTGTGGCCACTCACTCACTCTTGGTCTGTACAGGTCTCCAGTCGAGTGTCTTTATTCTTTTCTATAGCACTTCAAGATTGGTGTACGCCTTCTAATTTTATCAACTTTCTCATCGTCATCTCGTAAGTATAAATCTCTTTCATTTCTTCTCTCTTCTCTTCTACTTCTATTTATTCTCTTAGATATCTAAATTTTCCCATTTGCTCGACAGAATTCTTCTTCTGCTCATTTCGACTGCCTCAATGGTGTGTAGACTGTCTTACGTGAACCCTGCATTCCAGCCGTTCATCGCCTGGCAACCGTGGTGCCGGCTCTGCAGCGACTGTAGAAGCTCAGCAAAGACACACCCACCGGTTGGGGGCGTGGCTAGTGGGGGCTACGACAGAATCGGGGGAGAGAGAGAAGGCTTGTGGACTCTTGATTTCTTTGAAGAACTGGTGAAGAAGCACAGCAGCAGCAGAGAGCCTCCGGAGGTGTTTGACACTGGAGAACAGAATACCAACACATAGACTTTTAAAATTTATCACTGAATCATTCACAACAGGTTTTTCTCCCCTAGAATATATACACTGCGCATGCGCACGAACAATAATATGGCGTCACGATCGTGATCACTTCGTTAAACATGCGCATGCGCATTAACCATAGCGCTTGGTGTTCTCTATTTAGAAAATCAGAGCAATGTCCGCGGATTCTGGGATAGAGAGCGAGAACGGGCACAGCAGCGGGGACGGGGAGCCGGTGGACCTGAACATGGTGCCGGTGGAGCCCCCGCCACAGGAGCAGGAGAAGACGCTGACGGACCACCTCAACAAGAGACTCCTGGAGTCGTTTCTCAACAGACTGGACACGGGGCGGGTGGATCTGCCCCCCGGGGCCAGCGGAACCCCTGGGGAGGACGACTGGGAAGATTCAACAGACAGCTAGCCCACGTCTTATATCATAGATTTGATCATTTATTCTTTTGATTGCCTTGCATTCACATCCATGATCCATGCTATAATGGCGCTCTCCAGCACATCTTTTTCACGACCACGATAATTTTCAACACATGGTACACAATGAATAATAATTATAAATCTGATCATATTATCATAATAGACAAATACACAAATCAACGCTAGAGACTGAGTGGATTTACGGAGGTCTTTTTCTGAGCCATGGTGCTGAATTTCTTGAGAAATTTGGTGATTTCTCTCTTTCCTATTGTCCGTACAACAGCTGGGGGGGCCCACCCACCTGGGTTCACTGCAGGTCATGGGGGGAGAAGTTAGATAAAAACTATTGACGATCGGCCAACTAGATATAATATATATACAGTGGAATCTCATTACATGAGGGGCAAAGCCAGCTAGGAACCGGGGACATTATTTTTACAAAGAAACAAAGTTTGTTGGAAGCAAGCAATGGTCTCCCATGTGTAAATACACCAGTAGATTTGATGTACCATTGGTAGCATAGAGTATTTTGCAGTTTATGCCATTTCTGGTGAGCAATGACTCCGTCCCTTGTTCGACTGGTCCATTGGCCACAGTCTGACACACCATACCGCACTGGAACGTGGCTCTGATCAGCTTACTGCTGGGCTGCGAGTGAGGAGGAGGAGGAGGAGGAAGGAAGGTGAGAGTATAAGGTCCAGCTTTTTTACCCTTAGCAACACAACAGTACAAATGTCCAATGTACATAAACATACAATCAACTGAAGGAAATGCTCTGATTGACACTCCCCAGCAAACTGACCGGAGCGGCAGGATGGTCGATGGAGAAGTTGCCCACCATCCAGGTGTGCCCGACCTGGTTCTCCTCTCGTGGGGCGTTGGGCAGCGTGCAGATGTGTGAGCAGAACACCGTATCTCTCTGCGTGGACGGCCACACCCTCTTGTGGAGGTGGTGGAATACAATGGTGTCCTCGGAGAGCGCCTCGAGGATGGTGGCCGATTCCACCGTGTTCTCCCACTCCAATCTCGTGTCGTACTCAAAGAAATAGTTTGCTATTTCCCGTGCAGAAACACCCTGCAATTGTCACAAGAACATGGCATACATTATTGTGTGTTTCCATTGTACACTTGCGTATGGTCCGATGGAGTATAATTATACAAACTATACACTACTGCTGCTTGCATGCAAGGTGTGGCAAAATGGCCCCTTATTCTATTGGCATGGGAAGTATCCTTGAAGAGAGTTGTCCTTTATTCGGTGGATACTTTTTTGAAGGATGTAGGGGTGTGTGTGCCAAGAATGCATGCCTCATTCAGTAAAGAGATAAGCTCACGGTTGCGTTGTAGTAAGACTTGAGCGGGTCGACCACCACTCCTCCGTCCTCCATCTCTCTCCGGTACACCTTCATCTCTCCATCCTCGTGCACCACGGTCCAATTATTGTCCACCTCCTCAAAGAGATAGCGGGCGTACTGCGATATCTTCTCACTCATCTGCCCAACAAGACAAAACTTGGTTACTACAGTCAAACCTCTGAATAAGAGGCAACTAGGGGACATCATGGATTAATTCAGAGGTGCCCTTTGTAACTACCCACTGAAGGAAGTACAGATTAATATATAGATTGCCGCAGCGGACTTTGGGGGGCATTATTTAGAACGGCTAGCACTGTGCATCCTGTGTTTGCGTCTATTCTGAGTTGCGATATTATAGTGGTGAAAAACACAGAGATGCTTGTTGTTGTGGTTTATGTGCCGGCACATACGTACATCATAGCTTCATTAAGAAAACATTTGCAAATAAGGCGAGGAAAACCAGCAGATTGCTTATTTTTGCAAATTCGTGACCCCCTCCAAAAACTTACGATTTCGCACTAGTATATATATAGTACCCTCTCCCCTCCCTCCCCTCCTCACTCCCCACACTCACCAGGGGTGTTAGTCTATGAGTGACACCAGTGATGGACTTGTGTTGAATCTCATCGGGACATGTAGCCTGGGCAACACTGCCATCCACCGTCGACAAAGACGACGTCACACTTCCAGCAGCCTAAAGATTAAGTAATGGACGCTGCTTATCCCGACTCCAGTCTCCCAAACGGGATTTAGCTGCTTTTAAGGCAATTCAAGTGTATGGAACAGTACGTATGGCTCACAACAATAACCTGTTGTTCAGTAGTGCCTTCGTCTCTGTTACTTTCCGGTTTTGTCGGCGTGTTTTGATTTTCCTCCGAGGAACCCTTTTCCCCTCTATCCTCGGCCGTGGTGACCTTTGAACTGTCGTACGCTCCTCCTCCTCCTCCTCCTCCTTCCACTTCTCTGTCTTCCTCTGACTTGAACGCCATCTCGAGTGCGTCGAAAAACTCCTCTTCGCTCAGCGTGCTGTGCGGTCCCTCTTCGTAGTCGGGACCGGCGTACTTGTAGGCCTTTATTCGGGGTCCGTTGAGAGCAGCATGTGCCGCCACTTCCGCCCTTCTCCTCTTGTCCTCTTCCTAGAGTTTTAAAAAGAGGAGAGAAGAAGGAGGAAAAGAGACGGAGAGAGAGAGGGAGGGGAGGGAGAAAGGAAGGCATAGAAGAAGGGGAGGGAAGATAGAAGCCACAGCAATGACACACCCAGAACACTGGGCCAGCTGAGTCTGAAACACACATATACCAGACAGTGTACACAGGGGTGGTTAATAGAACAAGGCTGTTAAAATAATTATGCCTACATACCCAGGCATGCATGAAACAATGCACCGGCACATGATCAGCATGGGATGCCCAACCACATCTGGTGACCTCGAATGGCATCCAATAATTAATTACGCCCTGGTGGGGACTATTTAGAGTACATTGGGTATAAGTAGCACATGTACACGGCTCCTGATTCAAGTTGCAGTCGCGTAGTCTGTAGTCACCAGTGTTGGTAGCAATAGGAGTTTGCCCACCATCTATTGGAGAGCTACTATAGTGGACACTTTGAAAAAAGGTATTGACATGAGTCTACGATCTCTTTACCAAGTTCAGGAGTCCAAGTCTCAGATTACATACAGTCTAGGGGAGGTGGGTGTGTCAGTCTAGGGGAGCTGGGTGTGTCAGTAGAGGTTACATGAAGGTACAATTAGACCGTACACACATGAGAGTTGAGGTGACAGGCTGGAATGTATGACTGACATTCAGTAGCAAGTGGCGCAGGTGTAATGACGGCTCCGCCCACTGCCTTAATGGTGTGCGGTGTAAGGGCGTGGTTCAATGACTACAGAGCAACTGGCACAACCCTCTGGTAGACTAGGTCTCTGGTAGACTAGATCTCCAAACATATTCACAGCAGTGTCTATTGGCACTAATGCACATGTGTAAACATATTTCATAGCAGTGTCTATTGGCACTAATGCACAGGTGTAAAACATATTTCACAGTAGGAGACCTTTGTGTGTACACATTACAGACCTGCAGACTGCTGTCCTACACTCATGAAATTTCAAGGAAAAAATGTTGTGTTCTTCCAACCACGAAATTTACCGAGTTTTTCTCTCAAATGTATGGCATACTTTACCTTCTCGTATTTCCTCTGCCAAAACTCCTCCCTCTTGAGCATGGCCTCGATGCAGTGGGAGAGAGAAGCAACAATCCCCACAGTCGTGGCTTTAAACGTGATCGCCTCCCCACGGAAATCAGGGTTAATTGGCGTGTGATGAAGGGGCCCTTTAAAGTGGGAGTGATAGCTAGTTCCCCGCGTGGGGAGGGGTTTGGCGAAGGAGAAGGGGTCACTACCGGTACGACGGTGGCCCCCGGAGCGTGCGTGGGCGACAACGGAAGAAGTGGTGTGGTGGTGTGCGAGAGGTGAGAGCGCTGAGGGGTGAGAGGATGTGGGGGGAGGGAGGGTGGACGATCGACTGCTGTTGGGGGTGGGGTTTTGGGGACGCAGGGAAGGGGAGTTGGGGGTTGACGAGGTTCGCGAGACGTCGCCGTCTGAGGCCGTGTCTTCCTCAGAGAGTCTCTCAAATGACTCGGTAGATTGGTGGTCTTCGTTTAGCTTCCCTGCGAAATGTAGGACAATGAGGCTAATACAAATGGGCAAAAATTTTTTAGTACTCTCCAAAAATTTTGAAGGGGTAGATTTTGACATTAGTTGACATATATGGCATGCATAGCATTGTTGAGATCAGTGCTAACAAGCCTAGGAATTTTGATGATATATTATTAGAATGTTTGTTGGGACTGCCATATCCTTTTTCTGGCCTCACTATAATGGGAATACTACTGATCACAGCCCACAGGTGAGGTGAAGAATGCTACATCGCTACATTGCTACATTCAGCATTAATGTGCTACCCAGGTTCATGTGAGTATATAGGACAGTTCAGTTGGGGCCTTATTTTCTGCCCAGACACATATGTATATACCTGCTCCATTGTTCTCTGCTGCGAGGGAGTCAAAGTATCCCTGCAGTGTGTCCACCTGCCTGCACAGGATGTCCCTATAGGTCTCTATCTCTGCCAGCTTGGTGTGGAAATCATACCCCAGCTGAGGAGAAAGGAGCAATGGAGGGTAGCACATCTACAGTGGAAACCCTCTAATCAGGGCAGGTATGGGGCAGCCGGGAGTCCATGTTAGCAAGGTGTACTTATTTGAGGGTTTAAATTGCATGCACGAACTGTTCTTGGCGGAAGAAAAGGTGTCCTTATTAGAGAGGTGACCTCATTTCAGGAGGTGCCCTTAGAGAGAGGTTCTACTGTAAGGTAATCTTGCTATACCTTTGAGGAGGATGTGGATGCTTGTGATATGGCCGACAGCGAAAGAATAGAAGGCTGACGTCTGATGTGTCCCATTGAAAACCCTGTTTCCGCCAGGTGTCTCTAAAGTAGAGAGAAAGAGAGAGAGAGAGAGAGAGAGAGAGAGAGAGAGAGAGAGATACGAAGGGGAAGGAAGTTTTTTTAGACTGTGTATCTTGGACAGGACACGACTTACACCACAACTTCCTACAATCAAACACACGCCACATCATCACCCGTGCAACCCATGTGTATCTCAAGCTCTGAGAGTAACAATTGGGCTTACTTTGTTTCCTTCCACAGTGTCAGTCCAGTACATGAGCTCTTCTCTGCTGGTGGTGCGGAAGAAATAGGTGCAGTCGTGGACACGAATGTCGAACCGAAGCTCATCAAATTCATGTAGCTGAGGGCAGGGAAGGAGAAATGAGGGATGTAGGGTCAGTTGCTTAGATCGGCATGGTAACTACTATACTACCTCTAACATCATAGATGATGTAACTATTGGCATCACCTCCCACATTGCCACAGCAACATTTGATCCAAAACACACATCATTACGCCCCAGCATCCCCCTACTATAGCAATACTTGTGGTAACTGTCATCACCCAGTGTTCAGTGTAGCACAAAATGGAACTGCACCATGGGTTCAGGAAGACAGATACACAATGCCCTGTCACATCCTGTCAGTACTGTGTACATATATACCACTGGAGTAGAACTTGCACCATGTAGCAACCACATTCACAGAAAAGACACTTGTTGGCACACAAGACAAGACAAGATGGAGGAGGAGAGAGAGAGAGAGAGTGAGAGAGAGAATAACTGCAGAAAAATCTGCAATGTCAGCCACCGCCACACAAGAACACCACAAAAGCCAGCTCAGCTGGACCACCAAATCTTTGTAAATTCATAGCACCAACATCCCAGAATGGCTCTATCCTGTAGATCTTGACTACTAACCATCTAAGCCGCACTAATGCCAAGCATTCCTTTTTTACAGTGCTTAAAAAGGTGTGGTTGGCAGAGAAAGGCCTGTCCTACACACCCAAACAGGGTCCCTGCCTGTCTCCAGGGGTATAAGGTAGAGACCACAGAATCATGCGTTGTTTACGAGTGACAGACAGAAGTTCACAGGTATAGCACACCGCTAATGACACACGCACCATACAACCCCCCACATGTTGCTCGTCTCCTACATACACATACCTAAGTAAACTCGTCAGAGGCGGCCTTTGGTTGCCCCCCCCCACACCACTCACCACACATTAGAGAATAGAACCGATGCACGTGGAATAGACAGAAAACCTACACAGGTCACATGCACGAATGCGGTATCCTACGCTGGATATCACAGCTGATGCGCTCACCAGGAGCCGGACTTGGTGCAGGCTTATAGAGCCTCTGCAACCGAACTGCGTGTCGCTCTCAGACTTGTAGTAGCTGAGTATGCCCTCCGCCACCACAACGTAGCGCTCCTGCCAGCCGTGGAGGTAGTTGGTCCACTTGGAGAGGTAGCCTCGCTTTGCCGGGCATTCCCCCGCGGCTCCCCCGTGACTGTCGCGGTCCTCTTCCCCACTGCTCAGGGACAGCTTGCTGGACAGCTCCGTGGGCGCCTTGACGCTGTTGCACGAGCTGGCATCGTCCACGTCTGCCCCCGTGCCCGAGTCCGCCCGCTCGGCTCCGTCGTCTCCTCCCGCGAGTCGCGTCGCCATGCCGCCCAACTGCCCGATAAACGTCTTCATCAACTTAGCCATCGTCTCTCTACCTCCACTACACTAATTCTTTCTGTCTCTGTCGATCGATCTCGAACTCTGTAAGGAAGAAGACGAATACTGAGCTGTGTGAGGGCGTGGTTTTTGAAAAGCCTCATCTTGCAATTATCGGCGCGCGCACCCGATGAGATTGCGCATGCGCATTATGAACTGGCGTTGGAGCAAATAATTTTCCACCTCATGAATTATTACACAACGTCACAAAAAGAGAAAAAAATAATTTTCTACCAGTGGACCCTAGAATGAGAGGTGACAAAGCTGCGCAAGTGTTTGGAGCGGTAGATGAAATAGACGGCGGCAGACACGCCGGCACCGAGCAGGAGGCCCAGGGAGGCCAGCTTCAGCCATCGCGGCACCGAGAACCTCACCATCACATTGCTGGACCTGTGGAGAGAGAGAGACAACAGAGAGAAACAGACAATCATCGTCAGTGTGTGTGTTTCGGTCTCAGGCTCACCCCATCTCTTTGCACACTGTAATAATAATTATAATCGTGCGTGCATAGGAAGAGCAAAGGTACAATATACGAGGCTGTGTACATATAATAATAGGAAAGTATATATTATAGTACGTAGGCAAGATTTACACAATAGTTGTTGCAGTGATGCCAGAAAGATTTGATTATCAATGCTCAATCAGGTTAATGTATTATTAACTCAATTAGTGTAATAAAATCAGAGTGTTAACTCAATTAGTGTTGAATGAGATCAGAGTGTGTAGAGCTCACGGATCAGCTGCAATGGTGGCAATCTTCTCGTAGACTCTGCGCAGAGCGTCGGGCGATGAGGAAGAGACGGGAAACGGGTGGGGGAGGGCATTGTCGCGACAAAACTCGGCAGGCTGCTGCTCGCTGTCCTGCAGAATAACAGGACACACCAGAAATATCAGGACACCTCCACACAACTAGGACACTTTAGTGGAGTCTTACTTGTTTGACTGCTGGCCTGTCGGATTTTGTGGCAACAAACACGTATGGAATCACTTCTGACACGGACGCCTCAACAGCTCTCTGGAGATTAGAATAGAGTGAGGGGATGAGATGGCAATGGGTGGGTCATTTGACGGAGAAAACAGAATAATGTTGAAGTGGGTGGCGTGTCCTGATTTCAAATCGCATGACGTAGTCATCGGGAAAACATAAATTAATAGAGGTGTCCTCATTTCAATGGTGTTCTTAGAGAGGGGTAGGTGTCCTCATTTCAGGGGTGTTCTCAGAGAGGGGTAGGTGTCCTCATTTCAGGGGTGTTCTTAGAGAGGGGTAGGTGTCCTCATTTCAGGGGTGTTCTTAGAGAGGGGTTTCAGTGCATGGAGGTGAAGGTGCAGCAACTAACGTAGAGGGAGGCAGCTGAGGAGAAGGAGAGAGAGTCGGAGGTGTCGTAGAGGAAGCAGGCCACGTCGCACTGGCCCAGAGCAGCTGCCACGGCCTCTGCAACTCCTCCTTCCTCCAGGTCATCGGGGTCTGGCAGGTACACGTTCTCATGGAGCTGAAGAGGAGAGAAGAGAGAAGAGAGAAGAGAGAAGAGAGAAGAGAGAAGTGTTCGCATTTGCGAGTGGATATTATATACACACAAGAAACTGCTCTTGGCAAATAAAATAGAGGTGTCATCATTTCAGGGGTGTCCTTAGAGAGTACACAGCAATCCCACTAACTTGGAGTATAAATTTCTGAGCGTGTGGAACCTACAATGAGGTAGACTGTTGACCCAGCCACAGGTAGGGATCGGATTGTCACAGCCTCTCTTCTTCTTCTTCTCTCTTCTTCTCCTTGTCCCACCACCTGCACCATCTGAAAACCAGACATCAATAAACATTGCACTTCTCACAGATTGGCCAAAATGGGTTCATCGAATCACTTGGTTATTATTACTGACTAACTATTTCATCCCCTTCCTCAATTTTTTATACCAGAGGCTGCTAGCTGACCTGTTCCCTGCCGATGAGACCTCTGACGAAGGTTGACTTCCCACTTCCTCTCTCTCCCAACACTTGACAGTGATAGACACTCTTTACCTTCTGTCCCGACCTCACCTCTGGTAGAAGGGAAGGAGGGAGAGAGTAGAGAGGGGGAAAGAAAGGAGAGAAGGAAGAGAGAGATGTACGTGCAAGTGAGCAAACCTATGATCTATGAACGGTTTTGTGCATGCCGCACACACACACAACACACAGACTGTATTTCTCACCAGTAAGAGCTGAGGCGAGAGGACCTCTACCAAGTCAGAGGGTAGCCAACCCACGCCAGGAACTGGGCCGTGTAGGTGTAGTCCACACTTGTCTGCAGTCTGAGGAAGAGGAGAGAGGAGAAGTGGAGGGAGGGAGGGAGAGTATTGTCACATCACAGTTAACCTTAGACCCTTCCCTAAAAATGCTAGAATGAGATAAAAGGTTCAACAGCTAATGAGACTCTTTTTATATATACCCACAACAATCGATTCGTATAAGGAGAAGATGCTTTGCACAGCCAAAAGCTATGAGGGTTTGTGTAAGCAAAAGTAAAGAGGTGGAAGAGGAACTTACGACCAATAGGCGAGGAAACCGTTCATGGTAATCCACCCCTTGTTGTTTGTTTCCACGGTGACTGAAACCAGCTGGTCGTCCCACATGAAGTCAGGACACACGCTAAACATGTCCTGAAAAAGTCAGGACGCACACTAAACATGTCCTGAAAGTCAGGACACAGTAAATATACCTCTTGTTCCAATGGTGAAAGGGCTTGATCGCCATCCTAAGATATGGGAGGAAATGAAGCCAAGGTAGCGATCTAGAATACATTACTGAAGGTGGAAGCAATCGTTACGTCATCGCCAGTTGTCTCCCTTCAGTGTCTCTCTCTCTCTCACTTTACCGAGTGTGTGGGGAGGTTGGCAAACCTTGTCGTGCTTGTTAAACAGGTCAGTCAGGAATTGGTAACCGGTTTTGCTCAGCTCCACGCTGCTGCCTGGCTGGAAACTAAACCTGCAATACACACATACAATCAATCTATCAATCAGTCAATCAATCAATGTATCAATCATTTTATCAAACAATCAAGGCATTCAATGTATCAATCATTCAATCAATCATATCAATCGATCAATCAACAGTATCAATCAATCAATGTAAGTCTGAGGCAGCAGTATTACTAAGCTCACATAGGCTGAAGGTATTGGTCAGTGAGAGTCAGAGAATTGGAGTAGCCAAACTTGCGGAGAACTTTCCACGTAGTTTCGTGACGACCTCGCTGGATGAACAGCTTGTTCAGGAACAGAAATCCTGGATAGAAAGAAACGTGCATCTTTCATCTATTGTAAAACTGATGTGTACATTAAACATAGTGAAACCTCTGAATAAGGGCCACCTTCTAGAGTGCTCTTTATTTAGAAGCGTTCCTTACGTATTGAGCAAACACCATGTGGCCTATACGAGAGTACTATTTTTGAGGTTCCGTCTTCAGATATTTCGCTGTGGCCCTCCCTTTTCAGAGGTCTAACTGTGGCCCTAGTGGTATAGCTGCCCCAGTGATATCCCCCCCCTCTCTCTCTTTCTCCCAGGAACCAGGACACAACCAAAACAGTTGTCTCCAGCGAGTGAAGCAGGCAGACCTTCCACAGTGATTCCGTCTCTCTCGACTCCAGTCTCAGTGTTCCTCATCACAATATTCTTCACGTCGGTCAGAGCGTTTGGCTGCAGAGGAGCATCGAAACACCGGATCTGAGGAAAAGATGGACACACAACCACATTACGCAACTGTTATGTGTGAGAGAACTACAATGCTGTGAGAGGACTGAGTTGGATGATAGGGGATTATATGGAAATGATGGGTGCAACGCAGAAGTCAAATAGGAAAGGGGAGGAAAGGTTTGGCAAGAGAAATGGAAAGTAAAAACAGTGCTACATTGAAGACCACATGTTCCGTGTTATGTAAAGACGAGGTGTTGTTGAAACTGGAATGGTACACAAAACACGTTCTCAGCGTAATAATACCTGGAAGTCGTTGAGCTCCTGGTCGTTTAGAATTCCATCGTTGTCAACATCGCAGATCTGTGTCGTCACAATGTGTGGAATTCAGCGATGGCTGTTGGAGCATTGCTTGCTTACCTTGAAAACTCTCTTCAGAGCTTCAGCACAGTCTGGCTTCAGCTAAAATCAGAGAGAGAGAGAGAGGAGAGGAGAGGAGAGGAGAGGAGAGAGAGAGGGGGGGTGACAGACAGGACAGAAAAACTAATGTATCACATCGCCACATACACTTGATCTTGAAATATTAACCAACAGGGAATCAACACAATTGCTGTACGATACGTGTACATGATAGGGACGTAAGTACACACCTGTTTGCTAGTGGGTGCATAGAGAGGAGCAGTGGGGTGTAGGACAGCCTTCTGAGCAAAGTAGAACAGCTCCGACACATTGTGCATGTCCTTGGCTGAGGACTGCAGTAGACACGCAGTGGGTGGATTATAGAGAGAGCAAGAGAATAGAATGAGAGAGAGAGAGAGAGAGGAGAAGAAGAGAGAGCAAGAGAATAGAATGAGAGAGAGAGAGAGAGAGAGAGAGAGGAGAAGAAGAGAGAGCAAGAGAATAGAATGAGAGAGAGAGAGAGAGAGGAGGAGAAAGGCAAGAGTGGCAGCAAGGAAAGAGGAGAGGGAGGAAGATAAATGTACGTACCTCCAGTCCAGTTTCAATCTCAGTGAACTTGTTGAGAAGTTCCTGCACTCTCTGCACGATGATCACATGATCATCACATGGCATCACGTGATCCAGCCACACCTATATTACATACCTGAGCCTGAGTCTCCACCGGATACGGCAGATCACACTAACAACGGAAAAGCCCGTTGAAAAACAATTGAAAGTGAAAGTTGGGAGGAGTTCAAACCTTGTTCCCAGCGAGAATGACAGGTTTGGGGAGTCCACCAGCAGTACTGTTCCTGATCAGTGGTAGCCAGTAAGACACCACCTGTAACACACAGAGAAAACAAAACTTCTCTATAGCGTGAAAAATTTGAGTTTGGGAAATTAGAAAAAAATTTCAAAAGTGAAAGGTTGTCTTCGATGACAAACAACACATCTGTAAATACATTATTAGTGGGAACAACAGTGGCAGGCTAACAGTGTAAGTAGACACTGTGACCTGAGCCAGGAGTGTAAGCCTTCAACTACATTAGTTGGAGAGAGACCGGAGAGGAGTTTGGGAGGAAGAGATGAGGAAATGACGGGGCAATATTTTATTGTCTTCTCTTCGCGGTGACTGTAAGAGACAGACAGGTAGTCTCGCGTATGTGAGAAGGATGTTAAAACAACCACATGATGTAAGTGACAGGGTTTCTCCTCCCCCAATGCATGGAGTTTGGGGATTTTGTGTCTTAAACGTAAGCCCTGTGTGCTGTGGTTGAATCATGGACCATCCTCCTCACACTTGTGACTACCAGTCGCTTAGACTGGGCAGGAAGAGCTGCGGATTGTACAGGAGACAGATTAGTGCCCATTTTCTAACGTTTCGACCTTTACAGCTGTCCCCCTCTCCCACAAACCCCTCTCTGATCTTCTCCCAAACAAGTTGAAAGCTGACCTTCTGGCACATCCGGCATTCAGATCACGGCATAATATGCTTAAACTGTTCAGTGTTGGTTCTGCCCACTTACCACCGTTTCCTGCCCATATCTATGCTGTGCATTTGGCAACATTTATTAGAAGAAAGCAGAGCGTCATGGGTTCGAGTCTCACCTAGAGCAGGTTTTTTTTCTTTTTTTCATGTTGGTTTGGGATGAAGTTTTCTATCTATTATATCTGTAATTTAATGACTAGAATATTTCTCTGTGCTGGTATAGTTTGTGAGTGGTTCGATGAAGTATGTAAACCAAAGACAGAGAGGCATTTGTGGAGATGCTTACCCTGTCAAATGCCCCTTCAAATGTTACGTCATACATCACACACACCACATTGGCCTGGAGAGGGGGAAGGAGAGGGGGAGGAAAACAGTAAATGAGGGAGAGGAGGGAGGGGAGGTAGAGAAGGGAGAGGAGGGAGAGGAGGGAGAGAAGATAAGAGAGGAGGGAGAGGAGAAGAGAGGAGGGAGAGAGGATAAGAGAGGAGGGGGAGAGGATAAGAGAGGAGGGAGAGGAGAAGAGAGGAGGGAGAGAGGATAAGAGAGGAGGGAGAGAGGATAAGAGAGGAGGAGAGAGGATAAGAGAGGAGGGAGAGAGGATAAGAGAGGAGGGAGAGAGGATAAGAGAGGAGGGAGGGACGGAGGAGAGAAATAAACACCAATCTTTACACTAAAGATGGTACTGTACCTTTACAATCTCCTCAGAGAGGGTTGTCTCGTCTTGCTCTTGAGCTATAATTATACAAAAGACAATTGTCATTATGCAACACATTAACAGAGCTCTATAATACAACGCCTCAATCGAGACACACCTGGCAAAACAAAATAGGGACACAAATTTTTTATCTCAACGCCCACGATTTGGGCACTTCACTTCCCTAATAGGGAAGTGAAGTGTCCTGATTAGGGAAGAGGAATGCACGCAGGCAGAGATCCAGAGCATGCTAGAGAAACAGGCTATCAGGACAAAAACAAGCACGGGGGACTTCTACTCCCAGATGTTCCTGGTACCCCAAGAGGATGGCAGGCAGAGATCTGTGATAAACCTGAAATTAATTATTAGTGAAGTGTCCTGATTAGGGAAGTGAAGTGCCTCAGGACACTTCACTACCCTAATCAGGACACTTCACTAATTATCAATCAGGACACTTCACAGGTTAGGGAAAAGTCATCAATAGACACTCCAGGAATTAACTAATAAATCAGGGCTATCTAAAAGGACAAAGTGTCCGGGTATGCGCCAACAGCATTAGAAGGTGGTGTACTTGTGTGTGTGTGTATACACTCACAGGAGAAGTCTACGATGTGTGTTGGAACTTTTTCAGGAGTCACGTCGCCTGGTATTGTGATCTCCTCGGCTCGGGGAGGCACCGAGAGAGGGAACTCCTCCCCAACTAGAGCCAGTATTATGGACGTCTTCCCGCATTGTGCTTCAGAGGGAGAGGAGGAGAGGAGAGGTGAGTAAGGAAGGGGAGAGGGTAGGTATGAGGGAAAAGAGGGGTGGAAGAGGGGGCTGATTCCAACGTTGAAGGAGAGGCTCGGGGGAAGGGGGCGGGGGCTTATGGGCGTGTCATATTCATTGGGGACTTGTCTATTCACGATCTTTGCCACATTTGTGTTTTAGGTAATTCACATCTTTTCACCGAGTTTACTAACTCCCTGCGTATGTACACGGACGTAGAGAGAACTCACGATCGCCAACGAGAAGGATGCGAACCAGTCTAACGTCTCCAGAGGACATTCTTTCTGCGCCCTCCGTAGAATACGGACTGGGAATACGGAATTTCGTTTACGCGCTCTGCGCGGCGATATGCGCGGGGGCGCGCGAGGTAAGAACTAAAAGTTGTGATATTTCCGCTTAACAACTTGTTAAGCGGAAAAATCAGCGTATCAAACGTCCTTTTTGTTGTTCTAGAATGGAAGAGGAGGATGACTTTGCATTGTGCAATACGAACACACTACAGCATGGCATTTTGTACACAACAGAGCTGCTATAGCTAGCTACTAACACTACTAGCTAGGCCAGCAGGTAATCATAAACATACTACGTATGTAACACAACAGACACAATAAAAATTATTAGCTACACAAGCTAATGATGTTTGCAGATGAGTGGTTTTCAATTCCCAGGCGAGTAGCTATCGAATATCGCGGATGCTCAAAGGCTATAGCTATAGCTAGGCCTATGTAGCTCTGAGCACCAGGCCACACACGTACCGTGACACGCCAACATTTTGCACTATTTATGCAGGTATGGACTGTGTACAATAGGCCTAAACTCTTTTGCATTCTCCCGCTCTAACGCCCTGATTATTCTCGCGCGTGTGAGCGCTCTGTAGTGCAGCGTGTCAAACTCCCTCCGTGGCGTTTGATCTGCTGCGCACTGACTAACTGGTCACTTAGCCCGACACAGGTGCCTTGTAATCATACATGCGCGACAGATCCGACAAAGAGCTCCCTTATACATGTACTGAGCCATTGAGTCTCGGTCACTCAGTTTTTTAGCTCGATGACTTTTCGGCGAACTTGCGAAGTACGTGCGCGCGCAACGTGCGTATTCGCACGGCGGTAATTATACTCTCTTCCGCTGTCTCGCTGCACGCACACAGTATAAAACAAAGCTGCAAAACTCGGACGAATAATCATAAGCAAGACAGGCTCTGAGCGCCAAGTAGTCTGACCTGAGAATGAGTGAATCACTGACTGCAGTTTCCCGCAACTGCCGGGCGTTATTAGCCGTAATGACTTTGTGCTGGTGTTTCTCCGCCCGACCCGTCGACGGGTACTCGGAGTACACTAGGAATTGGGCAGTGGAGATTCGCGGAGGCAGAGAAGCAGCCGACAAACTAGCGAAAGAGCACGGATTCACCAACATGGGAGAGGTATGGCTATATTAGTTAGCTACAATTCTGGTAGAGACGGTGCACAAAGAGGGGCGTGGCACCTTGCCGACTAAAGCATTCATCTTAGCGTGTATTTCGCCTATAGAGTCCATTCAAAGTGTTTACTTTTGAAGATCCGTGCGAGTGAACCTACAACAGTTTGTTAGCTTTCAGAACAATCAATCTCTATGTTATTTTTCAGAGCCTATCTCTTGATGTAATGTTTGTGTGTGTGGGTGTGTAGGTTGGAAATCTGCAGGACATGTATCGTTTCAGTCTAGACTCTCCCGGGAGCTTGTGGGGAACAGACAATGGCGGCAAACGGAATGCAAGAGACATACACACCTTCCAGTCCCATGGGGATCAGCTGCGAACAATTGCACTGCAGAGAGAGTCAAATGTAAGTCTACATCAGGGCTAATAAGCAGTAGTGTTTGCGAATACACACATCGGTCGTGGCACCATTCTCTGATGACCCACAAAACTCTATGTGCAGCAAATGAAACTCTTTGTTATGAAACTCTTACTGACAAGTTTTGTTATGAAACTCTTAGTAAGTTTTACTTGTACATAATGAAAACGTTTGCAATTGTGCAGGTTGGATATGTGAAACAACAGAGGTTGTTAGAGCTGCAGAAAAAGAGTAGCTATACTCTACCTCAGGACCCACAGTGGCCAGCTCAGTGGTCCCTGGTGAGCTATAAAACTCCAGTTAAACTATTCATGGCTGCACGAAATACCATGGTGCACTTGAATGTTTATTATGCTAAGATATCAGATATCCTAACTGTATGTTTACACAAACAGAGGACAGAATTTTGGTTTGCACACACCCTTATGCATACCCTTCAACAACACGCCCTTGTTTATATCAAGGTTTAAAACAAGCTTAATATTTTTTAGCGAAACGATGGGCAGACGTCGGGACCAGCTGAACTGGACTTGAATGTTGAGCCGGTTTGGATGCAGGGATTCATAGGTCGTGGAGTGGTGGTGACTGTAGTTGATGATGGTAAGTTAAGTTGGAGGGAATCGTAATAATTATTATACTGCATCATAATCCCACGTACTACTAGAACCCCTCTCTAAAGACACCCATGAAAACCTCTGTAATATGAACACCTGTCTTTGTGCCAGCAATAATATAACCTGAAAAGTATGGAAAGGGACACTTCACTAATTTGGAGTCACTTTCCCTGTCCCACTGGTGGGGGTAGCTAGGTATGTGGGATTGTACTGGTGGAAGTGCAGGTGGGGCTATTGATGGGTATCCTGTGTCAGGTTGTGGTAGACAATATATAATTACCAGTGAGGACTACCCCCTCCACAAGGCTTGTTCCCTCTAAAACTCCATGCTGTCTCTTTTTGGTCCTCCCATTCAGGTGTGGAAGTCAGTCACCCAGACCTCCAAATAAACTTTGTAAGTGGCAACTATGGATGTCCTTTGCAGAGGTGTAGCTATAATATTATATGAAATGTTCCAGGATGTTCAAGCCAGTAGAGATTTCATAGACCACGACTCGGATCCGACACCGACTGGGTCTGATTCCCATGGCACTGCCTGTGCCGGCGTCATTGGAATGGCACGGAATGGAGTCTGCGGAGTGGGTGTGGCACCTGGAACCAGTCTTGGAGGTAAATACATAGCTACACATGTGGCGTAAGCATTTTCAATACTTAGAAAATAGTGACTCTTTACTGCAGCAGAAATTAATGTCTAAAATGCTGAGCAGAGAGATTCTCTTAGTATAGTTCCAGCTATAATTACTCTTGTTTGTACTGCGGGGAATGCACTCCCAAACCAAAGGAACAATTTGTAAAACTTGTAACGGGACAAGCCGGGGCACAGAACTCTTTAATCGTTACTCAAACGAACACGTCAATGACAAACACAATAGTGTATGTGCCTGTCCACTACACACACAGGTCTTCGACTGGACTTGGGCTACACGTTTGATGTGAGCCAAGCAGGTATTCTCAGCTACGAGGATAGCTATGTCGACATCTACAGCAACAGTTGGGGACCGGCCGAGACAGGGTTTACAGTGGGAGGGCCAGGCTATCTCACCCTCGAGACCTTCAAGAGAGAGACCAAACAGGTTAGGGTACAATATTATATCAGCCACATGAGTAGGGTTCTACCCGTCATCTGATCATATCATGGTTTAGTGACCGAGATGGATCAAAAGCATGCTTGGTAGGCGAGCTGGGTGGAATTTATGGCATGTAAGTGATGGAGTGCGACTAGATTTGAATCCCAAAGCATGCAGTGTTTGCAAACAGCCAATTTGAATGATGTCAAATGATGATACCATAACATGTATTTCCAGGGGAGGAATTCGAAAGGGAGTATCTACGTGTTTGCATCTGGGAACGGTGGACGCTACCATGACTCCTGTGCAGCCGACGGCTATGTCAACAGTATCTACACCATTGCTGTTGGATCTGCTGACCAGGACGGACGACAGGCTTACTACGATGAAGACTGCTCTGCCAAAATGGCCGTCACCTTTAGCCACAACTCGAACACGGCTGCATCGCCCGACAATGCAAGAAAGGCCTCAAAACAGTTGGTAAGTAGCACACGCCTTCTTCTCTAAGGACACAACTCTTCTTTGATCTATTCATCCTGGACACAAGTCGCCCGTTACACTATAGCAACTCTGTGCACCGGCACAAGCCATGGACTAAGTGTAAATTTGCTCAAAGTAAAGCTTTGCCGTGATAGTCTAGCATTTAAGAGCATTCAAATGTACACACTATGGTAGGGCATAAGTTTTAGCTTCATATATACATTGGTATCTTACAGCTCACAACATCACTACATGGCCAATGTTCTGACTCATTCTCTGGAACGAGTGCCTCGGCCCCTCTCCTTTCTGGTGTGATTGCTCTTGCTCTCGAGGCAAAGTAAGTGAATACTCCTCTTATATAGTATAGCTACCCCTGCTATAAAACCCTCAAATGTGAATACAGTCCTGATCTGACGTGGAGAGATGTCCAGTATCTGATAGTCTACACCTCTAACATTGACATACTGACTGTGGACGACTTGGCCACCAATGGAGCTGGTCTCAAATTCAGCCACCACTTTGGATTTGGAGCCATTGATGCCGAGGCACTGGTGACCAGAGCCAGACACTGGACCAGTGTTCCTGAGCAGATTTCACAATCATTTACCCACAGCATGATCCAGTAAGCCACTTACATAAACCTCTCTGACTGCATTTAGAAAAATCCTCTTCTTTCCCCTAGTACTATACCAGCTTCAGGTTCAGCTACTGTTGAGTTTACAGTAGACAACTCGCGGTGGAGCTATGAAAATATCCGATTCCTCGAACACGTAGTTCTCACTGTGACCCTTGAAATTGGAGACTACGGAAGGCAATATACAGTCGACGACTTTTTTACCTACCACGACAGAACAGGGAACGCTACGGAGAAGTTGATAGAGTGGCTAACTGATCCTCACCCTCGACGGGGAGATATTCAAATCCAGCTAACGTCTCCACAAAACACCACCTCCACACTTCTCCCCTACAGAGATTTTGACTTTGTCAATGACGAGGGATACGATAACTGGCCGTTCATGAGTGTACACAACTGGGGAGAAGATCCAACTGGGACCTGGACAATGAGAATATCGTACAAGTCCAGCTCGGGCTACGTCCGTGTGAGCGGAGTTAACCTGGAGCTGTACGGGACATGGAGGACTCCAGGCGTAGTCCGTGCCATTCCAGATCGATGTCACGAGACCTGTGGCAGAGGGTGCTGGGGTGAAGGTCCCACTGGCTGCGATGTCTGTGCCAATCTCCGACTGGACACTACTCTCGAGTGTGTGGACAACTGCCCACCTGGGTTTACTGAATACCATTCTTACTGTCTTTCATCTGAAGACTCCAGGTCTAACATATCGACTGCCACTGACTCTGAAGAAACACAGAGTGAGGGCGAGAGTGAGGACGAGAGTGAGGACACTAGTGATTTGAACGTACCGATCTTGCTCAGTTGCACCGTGGCGGCTCTGATTGTAGTGTTTCTGGTCGTGATCTTTTCCCTCGTAACCCTCATCGCTTGTGGGCATTACCGAAAAACAAGGCAGACTCAGTTTTCTCGTCTCAAGGAAAGCATCACTTCAGTTTAGCAGATTATCGATCATCATGATTTTATCTTCATCTCTTCACTTTCTCTTTCAGTCTATAATATCGCTATTTTATGTAAAGTAGGAGGAATTTATAATTATAGCTAACTGTGTTCGCGAACGCATGCGCAATAGCTTACTGGCGGGTACGTGGCGGTGGCGAGAGCAGCCATCAATGATCGAGAAATGTGGAGATCATCGCTCAACACTGTTCTCTGTACAACAATTCTCCTACTGACTACAACCACTACTACTAGTGATGCGAACCGGCAACAGAAACCGGCCGCGGATTCCGTGCGGGGAGCAAGCCAAGGAAAGTCGCCGGCCCCGGTCATTCTCGCCCACCGCCCCATGGATAGCTGGGCCGTAACAGTTGGAGGCGAGTCTGGGAACATTGAATACCTGGCGCGAAAACACGGGCTGACAAACCGCGGACAGGTAGGTTGCATAGTAGCCACAGCTAAATGATGCTTCATGCTCTGTTGAAATAGATCGGAAACCTCAAGGGAGTGTATCTCTTCACGGCTGCAGATAGCGTCCCTGTTAGCGAACTTTCAGCAGCTAAAACGGCAGCATTGGGCGAGGACCAGTTGGTGAGTAAAGCGGGGTTGAAGCTACAGGTCAAGGGAAGTTCATAGGAAGCTGCAGTTTATCTGTGTGTGGGTGAACTAATGGTTTGTGCTGATGCACAGACACAGCTTCGTAGTAATACTCCTCAGGTTTGAAATGTCACTGAGCGTGTGTGTTTGGGCAGGTGGTGTTTGCTGAAAAGCAGCGAGTCCAAGTGAGAGAGAGGAGATCAGGTTATGTGCAACCGCAAGACCCCGGCTGGAAGAAACAGTGGTATCTGGTGAGCAACAGTAATAATACTAAAGCATCATTTTATCTGACAGTTGTTTGACACTTTAGTTTTAATCATGCATTGCATCCCCCTTTTCCTTCATGTTAGTTTGTGGGTGTGTTGGTTCATAACTCACAGTCTATGTATATATACCTCTCTTTCAATGAAAAATGCAGGCTAACTCAGTGGGATCTCCCCGTCAGCTAGACCTGAATGTTGAGCCTGTGTGGATGCAGGGGATTAATGGGAGCGGTGTGGTTGTGGGCGTTGTGGACGATGGTGAGAATAAGGAGAGGGAGGAAAAACATTTTGTTGTCTTAAGAACCTGCGATACTTTCAATTTCTCCCATAAACTGAACTGGAAACAGCATGTAGAGTGAGCAATTTGTGGGTGCGTGTTTTAGTTTTGGATGTCTGTATATTGCATTGGAAAACCACAACTATTTGAACCTAACAACACATCTCAATGTATGCATTTCACTGCATGCGTCTACCGACCTACTGCAGCCAGGATGTTAAGGAATGTCAGAGTGTATATATCTGTCTCACTTTGCAGGCTTAGAATGGACACACACAGATCTCATAGACAACTATGTAAGTCACTCCCTCACCCTAGTACACACAAACACCCATGTATGCATGCTCCAACAATTCAGTGATCCCTCCTGCTTACTCATAAGGTCCAACCCACATACGACGCGTGTATTTCATCTGACCACAGGATTCTAGTGCAAGTTATGATTTCGTTTGGGACGATGGGGACCCCTCTCCTGACGGGAACAGCGAGGAACCAAACAGCCATGGAACTAGTTGTGCCGGCGAGATTGCCATGAGCAGGGATTGCTCTTGTGGAGTGGGTGTGGCTTACGGCTGCAGCATTGGAGGTCAGCTCTCAACAATACCTTTCCTTATAAATCTGTATGAGCCATATTATACTACGGCTTGTATAGAACAATGGACTTTAGAAGAAAACTAGTTAGATTTGGATAGAGAAATACAATAGTTATGGCCATACATTATGATGGCATTTCGTTGTAGCTACTAGCAGTCAAAGTATTGTGGTTCGTACTGCAGGGCTCAAGATAGATTTCAACCTCATCACTGATGCCATGGAGTCTAATGCTCTCGGACACGAGAACTCCTACGTTGACATCTACAGCAGTAGTTGGGGTCCGTCTGACTATGGGTTCTCGGTAGAGGGACCAGGAACACTGTTGCAGCAGACACTTGCCACTGGTGTTAGAGAGGTACATACAATCCAACTTTAGATTACGGCTTTATTTATGAGAAAATCATAATTTGTTACTAGACATGGCAACATACACATCTACAAACACTGCTATTCCTATGTGTCTCTTCTGAGAAAACCTAACTATATTTATTGTAGGATTTTATAAGCCTTGATGTTATGCGTTCTCCCTCTCTCTCTCTCTTATTGCCAGGGTCGAAGCGGGAAGGGAAGTATCTACGTGTGGGCAGCTGGAAATGGAGGAAAGTACTTTGACTCCTGCGCAGCCGACGGATATGTCAGCAGTATCTACACAATTGCTGTTGGATCTGCTGACCAGAACGGACGTCCAGCTGATTACGATGAGGCATGCGCTGCCAAAATGGCCGTCACATTCAGCTACAACTCTGCGACTTTCCCACCGAGTGGAGAATCGTGGGTGGCACATGATCAGGTGTACACGACTACTTTGGACGGGAAATGCACCGACAGCTTCACTGGTACAAGTGCTTTCAGCTCCACTAACATCAGGAGTGATAGCTCTTGCCCTGCAGGCAAAGTGAGTGCTGTCAACGATCATGTACTGCTCTGTTTATACTACTCTTCCCCTCTCTGATTGTGAATACAGTCCTGATCTGACGTGGAGAGATGTCCAGTATCTGATAGTCTACACCTCTAACATTGACATACTGACTGTGGACGACTTGGCCACCAATGGAGCTGGTCTCAAATTCAGCCACCACCTTGGATTTGGAGCCATTGATGCCGAGGCACTGGTGACCAGAGCCAGACACTGGACCAATGTTCCTGAGCAGCAAACTATCCAAACACTATATCATCACCAAGACAAAGTAGGTTGAACTAATTCGTTCAAACTTGGATCCCTTACTAAAAGTGTCTTACCCTACATAGGACAATCTATACAACTGACGAAGTGACTTTCACTGTGAGTAAAGACGATATAAAGTTTTTGGAGCATGTGGTAGTGACCCTAACCCTTGAGATTCACGGGATATGGAGCTCCATACGACTATGGTGACTTCTACAGCGAGCTCTACAGTAGTGATAGTGGTGAGGATATATACGACTGGCTCCAATCCCCCCACCCACGTCGCGGGGACGTGGAGATAGAACTAACGTCGCCGGCCGGGACGAGATCCATTCTCCTGCCAAACAGAGACTACGACTTCGTCAACACTGAGGGATACGACAACTGGCCATTCATGTCGGTCCACTTCTGGGGAGAGGATCCCACCGGTACCTGGACCCTGCGTACCACCTTCCGGGCTTCTTCTGGCCACATTGCTGTGAAAGATGCGTCAGTTACAATGTTAGGTGTAGCGGAGGTCCCTATCTCTGCTTCCACTCTCCCTCCCTCCTGCCATCCTACCTGTGTCAGAGGGTGCCACGCCGAGGGACCTGAGAATTGTGACGCATGCAAAAACTTTCGATTGATCTCAACGCTCGAGTGTGTAGACGATTGCCCAAATGGGACCCACCCCTTTAATAAGTACTGTGTGATTGATTCGGAAGATGATGTCAACGGAATTCAGTGTCCAACAGACGAAGTAGAGAGCTACATTGATGCCAAGAGTGTTGGGCTAGGTGTGTGGCAGTGGTTGTACTGGTAGGTTTGGTTTTGACCGTTGTGGTGGGTTTGGTACTGCTGTGGAGGAGAAATAACAAAACCAGATTTAGGCGTCTATTTAATGACACAACTGCAGTCGGTTCATGACATTTCTCATTTTTATGGCTTAGGCACGGTTTTTAAAAAGTTTTACCGTTTTTGCTTTTAACTGCATCTGCTTTTTAGTAACCTTCATTTCATCATCTGCTTTTCCGGCTTAGTTTTTTAAACCATTACTTCACCTGTTAAAACCTTTACATAGTTTTTTAAAACTTCATTTCATATCTCCATCAGCTTATCTGACTTAGGATTTATAAATTCATCTGTATTTATAATAATTATAATTATATTTCTGGGTGTCTAATTGATATAAACGATGATTATTGTATGCGAATATGACTAGAAAAGATCTGTGATTGTGTGGGGAATTTAGCAGAAAAAGATGGCGTCCAGTTGTGGTTTAAGTTCGGCGACTTTCCTGTCGATCCAGTCGCATGGTCTGAAGGTAATTGGCATGGTAGACCCTCCATTGTGTACTTCGTAGATGGAGTTCTGTACTGCCTTGCTGAGCGAGAGTTCAATGGCCGCCAGTCGATGGGTGACACAGAACAGCCGCAGGTGGTCCAGATCGCAGCTGGTTGGGTCGTCTGCCTGCTCAGCCGCACTCTCAGCTTCTTCCGTTGCCATCTGCCTCAACTATTAGAGCAAAAGAAGACCATTATAATTATTATGTGTTTCTGTAATTGTACACCAGACTCTAACAGTGGACCCATTAAATATACGCAAAGAGCCCTGCACACACTGTATGAATGGAAGATTTACTACAACTGTTATAAGGGGGAAGTGATATGCTACCACCTTTAGGAAAGGAAAACCAGTGGGAATAGTGCCTCAGAGACCACACAACAGTTTCACGTGTCGTTACCCACGAGTCACAGAGAGTGCTGATCAGCTCCTTACCCATGCACACGTGTCCTTCACGTTGAGCTTCAGCAGAGCCAGGAGGTTCTCCGTGATGTTATCAGTGGTGCTGTTCTCTCCTCCTCCTTGAGGTGGTGGGGTGGCCAGTGTGTCGTGGTAGGCCAGGAGGTCACACATGCTGTTGGCAACACTCGACTGATCTCTGTTGTCCATACTGCTACTGAACTCTGGTCTTGTTTCGGTCTGAAAGATGGCACAAAAATAATAGTCAATTCTCCAGCTAAATTGATGCCGACAAGTGTAATACAAATCAGTACACGTTTCTTACATAGATGAGAGTGACGGTAAGACCATTATAAGCCTCCACTGATGTATTACTGGCCGATGGTCCTACTTGTCTCTTGTGCACTGATGGTGCCATATGAGCTGGAGAGGGTAGTAGAAATACAGCGACTGCAACTGCAGAGAACGTTGCCTTCAGCACCGTGATGATGATCAGAGACTTCATGTTGCAAAATTCCTCTTCCTTTTTCCGTTCCGGTTGTTCGGAGAGAGATGTAAAGAGTAGATGATGGTCTGAAACGGTCGACATCTGCCCTTTTATATCGTCTTCTCGCCTCAACGATCACAGAAATCGCTTCCTCTCTTCCGAATCACATAGATAGATTTCGTAAGGTAAACCACTACGTAATGTCGGCGTGTTGTATCGTGAAATGAAAATGAGAGCACCAATTCATTATCTGCTCCATTGGTCATGTAATGTCACACTGTATTGTGATAGACATACTTTGAATATTTTATAAGTAGTCGCGTGAGAAAGCCCCAAGCGTCTTGCTCCATGTTCCAAATATTCATCAATTTGGGTGATGCATGAAAAGCAGACAACCCCCATCGGTCACCAAGAACAACACCATTTTTCGTTTCACACGGTTTAACAACTTCTCTTTGTTTAACGGAGTTTCAATATTTTGTTCTGGCATGCCTAGGGGGGAAACCTTTATCAAAACGTGAGGTCGTGGAATAAGCCCACAACAAGCTAAGTGAAAGATATGGGTTTATACACTTTATAGCTTATAGCTACCGCTGTGATTAAGAATAATAACAGGAGTAAGTACATGAATGGCAACTGAGAAATTGAATTAGATTATTTAGCTTCCGTAGAGAAACACGAATCATGTGTGTCGTGATCACAAGAGCATTCTTTTGCAATCATGCGCTCTTGCGGCTGACCATGTCGCATGCAGAGAGAAAATAAATGTGGGGACGTTTGTTTTTTTATGCACTATTGGTCCGGTTAGAGGAAACTAAACACAGTGCCTTTGTTCAACAATTGGGCATTGGAACCAACAATGACACCATTAACGAAAGATCCATTTTCCCCTTTCAGTCTGTCCTACGCAGTGCCGTGGTTCCCCCTCTATACAGCCGCTATACGTCAACTGTTGCTACTCTATCAGCACTTGATACGGTGGGTGGTGCGCATGCAGTGGTGTGAATCACAGTCCAGCAATGTTCAATTTCCCCGATGTGGCTAAATTGGAGAATTTTACCCGTCAGACCCTTCTGCTTTTCCAACGATATCCACCACTTCCTCATCTCTTGCTGATGTAATACAACAAACTTAATGTTTACTTTCAATGGAGCATGTTTCCCCCTTAATAAACACAGGTAATCTGATTGTACACAGTCCCTCTCTAAAGCCCCCTCCCCCCCCACTAAGATAGGCACGTGTCCTGACGCACAAAGATCAAAGCATGCTTCTCAATGCTCAATTGGCGTTATCAAAACTTGCATGCGCTGTGAGCCTATGACCCGTGCAGTAGGGAGATATTCAACTTTCCCTCTTTCGCGATATAAAAGCGGCCACTTTTCCGATCAAATCATCATTCTCTAGAATCATATCCAGCTAAAACATCTCATATCTGAAGCTAAGCCACCAACGCACAAGGAAAATGGCAATACTTAGAGTCGGCTCTCTACTGACGATGCAGGTCCTGCTCGTAGGACTGTACTGCAGCTCAATGGCAGCTCCTACTCAAGATCTGGACACCATAAACTTCATGACCGGATTGTTGGTGTCTAGAGAATACACCAGGAAGGTCAGAAACAAAACTAGCGTAACTCTTAATTGCTAAGGAATGCCAGGATTTCAAATCCAGTGCATGACATCATGTGCGATAATATAATAGTTACATGTCTCTCAAATTGCAGGCTGTGTGTCAACCCATTGTATCAGCGGAGAACGGTCCCGTGGCTGTAGTTGACACGTTCTGCAATCTCCTCTCCTACCATGAAACGATGAAACTCATTGCAGTCAACGGCAGTGGAAACGGAACAAGTGTGAACACTCTTCTCCACATACAGACCCTTATCAAGCACAACCTCCAAGACACCTGCCAATGGGTACGAAAATGCAGCAAATAGCTAATAATAATCTGTGCCGTAAAACTTTGTAGTTGCAAAGACATCTTACCACCTTTTCAGTTCTCGCTAATCCTTAATCTACACTTTCTTATATTCTCCCTAGACATTTTCTCCCCTAATCCTATATACACTGTTTTTTTTCACCCACAGATATCTCTAAAGATTTCAATGGGAGTTCTGAACGTCACTGACGTTACTCTGTTTGGTGAGGAATCATGTTCAATGAATGACACGACAACTCTACGAGAGGCTTGTGTCTGTCAAAGAATATTTGCAGTCACGTCCGAAGCATTCACGGCAGCCAGAAGAGCCACAGGAACGGTACATTTCAACGACCAATGTCAATGGATCAGGAGGCTAGGGAGTGCAAGTGACAGCATAATCCAGCAGTACGGCATAAACTGTCCCAATCAATAATCATATTCTTAGACATTATATAGCCAGCCACAATCACTTATTCTTTTATCATGGCATGTTTTTCACTATTAATGCTATACAGAGTTTTATGAAATTTTAAAATGTAGATTGTGTCAACAGTACAGTAGAAGCTTCTGTGAACCTGCAGAGTGTATATGAAATATCACAAGAACAAACACAGAAAGATACAGATGATAATTATAATTATGGTTGTTATAATCGGTGAAGTTCAAATTACACATACCAAAATACGCTTACATCATTCGCAGGATCAAACGTATACATGTAATGGAGCATACATGCAATTGCATATGGCACTGCGGAATGTAGCATTGGCCTATGCTCTGAGTGCATGCCTTCAGAATCTCCCCGCGGCACCTTGTCATCTGTGAGGCATGCTAATAGAGGGCAAGTGTGTTCCCCCCACCAAATAGCACAGCTACAGGTGGTTGACTGGTGTTGATGAATGTTCCAGTTCCAATTTCCCGACCGACTAGGAAATTAAATTTACTTGGGTGACAGAGATCAATCGGCCATGGATCCGTCATGGAATCATCTCCGCTTTTTTTATTAGTGCGCATTAGTGCGCATGCGCGCTCAGAGTAAAAGTGGGCGTGGCAAACGATCTAGCTCCATGGCGTCTATCTTTGTCGTGGTTTTCGTCCTTTTCCTGCCTTCTCTGGCTGAGCCAGTCGGCGTCCGTCCTCGCTACAGTGGCTACCAGCTGGGCGGTGGAGATAGACGGGGGAGAAGGCGAGGCGGAGAGGCTGTCCCGCGCACACGGACTCATCAACAGAGGACGAGTGAGGGGTGCCGTCAATATTTATCTCGTCTTAGGATTTGGCTAGCGAGACTATATACAGTAAAACTTTTGAGAAAAGCCTTCTGAATAAAGGACACCCCTCTCTATTAAAAGGATGCTTGATTCTGCCCCATTCCTCCGAAGTCTCGGAATAAAGGATATTTTCAATGTTCCCAAGGTGTTCCTTATTCAGAGGTTTCACTGTTACTTGCTCTGTCATATCTTCTAGGTGGGGAGCTTGAGCAGGCACTACCATTTCGAGTTGGCTGAACCCACCAATGGGGACGTTTCAGCTGCTATCACCAAGGCCCTATCTAAGGAAATATCAGTAGGTTATATTGGTGGAGGCTAGTGTAGTGTGTTGGAGTGTGTGCAGTGTTATTCTGCAGGTGAAGCATGCTGAGCCACAGGTTGTGAAGGAACATGAAAAGAGAGACTACATTGTTCCAGCTGATCCCGGATGGTCAAAGCAGTGGTCACTGGTATGTCACGTTTGAGGTTTTTTCCTTTCTCTTGCTTGCCCTCTCACTCAGCATGGTTCACACCACTTATGTACATTATGCTGCCTTCCTTCACTATTGCCTTAGGTTGTCAGCAAAGATTTAAAACTATCATTCTTCGAATTTTGCATCTATGGTACATGTGTGCAGAAAAAATTTTTTTTTAAAATTCCACCAAACAAGCTGTATGGTAGTTACATCTCTCTCTCTCTCTCTCTCTCTCTCTCTCGTGGGAGCAGAAGAGCGCAGGGGAGGTGGAAGGAGACGACTCTCGACTGGACATGAGAGTGGAGCAGGTGTGGCTCCAAGGGTTCACAGGTCGCGGTGTCACAACTACAGTCATTGACGATGGTAAATGCACATCTGGCCCCTCTTAACAGCATACATAATTATACTCTCTGTGCATTAATGATCTATGGAGATATGACCAAAATTTCTATTTACATGTACCTATATTCATGGAGGTAGTACAGTATAGACTGTACCATGCATGTTCTAGACTGCATAATTTCATCCAGGAAGTATATGATGAACAATTAGTATTGCTTTGGATTTTTCTTTTGATATTACCTCTGCTGTCACTCAAACATGCAATCGTCCTTTTCATTTCCTCCTTCCTCTTCCGCACCGCTAGGCCTGGAATGGAAACACGATGACCTCATCAGTAATTATGTGAGTCGGGAAGTTAGTGGTGTGCGCATGCATGCAGGCACTGAGCACATGCATTTTTATCAGGCTCCTGTGCATGAGGCAACCCATGTAGGGAGTTCCAGTCTGTTAGTGTGTGCATCTGAAATTGACAGTTTCCTAATGAGCCCCTTTCTTATCTATCTTAGTGTATGACGTGTGTCTCACTTTCAGTTCGCATAAGAGAGAGGAAGATAGAGAAAGAGGGGGTACTATTAACCAATGTTGTACATAACCCAGTAAACAGTGGAACCCCTCTCTAAAACACTCCTGAAATGAGGACATAATAAGGATATCGTTTCTTTCCCCAAGAACAGTTCCTGCATGCAATACAATCCCTGAAATCAGGACACCTTTCTTCTGTCCCATTTGTGTGTGAATTAGAGGGGTTCCACTCTATCCAGTTGCGGCCTCTCAATTGCCCATGTTTTGTTTCCCAAAGGATCCGAGCGTGAGTCACGACTTCACCACCGATACCAGTGACCCCACGCCGTTCCGAGGAGACAACCACGGCACGGAGTGTGCCGGTGTAGTCGCCATGTCCAAAAACACCCTATGTGGCATCGGGGTCGCCTTTGACTCAAAAATTGGAGGTATATACATTGTCTATCTGAATCAGAAATCCCCTAAAAGCCCAAATGGTAAAATTTTTCCACGAAACTTCAAAAATACTGCTTTTCTCCAAAGTTTTTTTGCAGTTCTCTTGAGCTGCTCATTGGTGTGCCCACGTGGTTTATTGGTCACCCCCTTTACTCAGGGATAAAGATAAACATTGAAGATGGTTTATTGGTCACCCCTTTACTCAGGGATAAAGATAAACATTGAAGAGTCCATGGACGTGTTTGAAGCCAGGGCTCTCGGCTACCAACAGAGCAGTGTCGATGTCTACAGCAACAGCTGGGGACCGAAAGACAACGGATACACCGTAGAGGGCCCCGGGCGCCTGGTGTCAAAGACATTGCAGAGTGGGGCTGAGAAGGTAAGAGGAATGTCTCACGTCCGTGCATTTTGCTTCCAGATGTAGTAATGGTGTCTATAATTATATGTACACTGATGTACTGTAAAATGAATTGAAGTATGTAGCTATATAGTATATAAGAAAGGCTTAATTCACTGGTAAAGAATGTATTGTACGTACCCATATTGTTATACTGTAGTATAGTTTATTTGCAACTGTGTTCTATTTTTACCGAGTTACTTGTTGGATATTAAGGGACGAGATGGGAAGGGGAATGTCTTCGTGTGGGCAGCTGGAAACGGAGGGGATAAGTTCGACTCCTGTGCAGCCGACGGCTATGTCAACAGTATCTACACCATTGCTGTTGGATCTGCTGACCAGGACGGACGACAAGCCTACTACGATGAAGACTGCTCCGCCAAAATGGCCGTCACCTTCAGCCACAACTCGAGACCCACTGGTCCTCAGGTCTACACCACCACTCTGGACGGGCGGTGCACCTCCGGGTTCACGGGGACCTCAGCTTCTGCCCCCCTGTTATCAGGAGTGATTGCTCTCGCTCTGCAGGCAAAGTGAGTGCTGTCAACGACCATGTACTGCTCTGTTTATACTACTCTTCCCCTCTTTGATTGTGAATACAGTCCTGATCTGACGTGGAGAGATGTCCAGTATCTGATAGTCTACACCTCTAACATTGACATACTGACTGTGGACGACTTGGCCACCAATGGAGCTGGTCTCAAATTCAGCCACCACTTTGGATTTGGAGCCATTGATGCCGAGGCACTGGTGACCAGAGCCAGACACTGGACCAGTGTTCCCCAGCAGCTCAACTTCACAATCCCTGCTACACAATTGTAGGTTATTAACACCAACATGCTAATATACTGGAACCCCTCTCATCCAGACACCTATTGGACATGAGAAACTGTTCATGTTTGTGAGTCTCCTTGTTTCAGTGAATGTAGGGAAAGAAAAGGTGTCCCGATTACAGAAGTGTCGCTTTTTTAGGGGTGTCCTTAAAAGGGGGTTCTACTCTATTCTCAACACTCAACACACTTTAACTCCAATTTTGCAGTGAATGTATGATTTCCAACGGATCCACGTGCGAGCTGGAGTTTCAGTTTACCAGTGAACTTGGTGCCAATATATCGTCCCTGGAACACGTCCTTGTCTCCCTGTCTCTCTCTATCGTTCCGACTGCCAACGATTCCCTCTGGAACCTCACTGACTACTACGAGGCAGAGAAAGACGGAGAGGCCGGCGACTGGCTCCAATCCCCCCACCCACGTCGCGGGGACGTGGAGATAGAACTAACGTCGCCGGCCGGGACGAGATCCATTCTCCTGCCAAACAGAGACTACGACTTCGTCAACACTGAGGGATACGACAACTGGCCATTCATGTCGGTCCACTTCTGGGGAGAGGATCCCACCGGTACCTGGACCCTGCGTACCACCTTCCGGGCTTCTTCCGGAAGTGTATTTATCACAAACGTGACTCTGACCGGGTTTGGGATCGCGGAAGGGGTCTCGGGGAATTCGAATCGCGGTTTGTGTCAAAATTGTCTCAGAGGCTGCGGCGATGTGTGCGATGTTTGTTCTGAGCTTCGACTGAATTACTCGCTGGCATGCGTGAGTACGTGTCCAAACGCGACAATTGAATACAACGGATACTGCATCGCCGGCAGCGTCATATATCCCGAAACGCCTACCGGAAATTCCGCCGATGGTACCACTACGGTCATTTTGGTCTCGGTGGCCGCGGTGGTCGTAGTAACACTGTTTGTTGTGGTACTAGTGGTCTTAGTGGTTGTTTTAGTCACGCGAAAACGGAGAAAAGATCGATTTAGTACCACTACCACTGCCACCAACGTGTATTGGTCTCTTCCTGACATTGACGACAATGATGATGAAACTGTCCAAATATAGTAATTACATCACACTCTCTATTGTCACTTTCTATTTATCACAATCTCTATCGATATTGTTTCCGTATCATTTTATTTTATCATCAAAGTGTTATAAATGAAAGCGAAGATATTACATCATAACAACATCACTGATCTGATTTGGGGAAGATCAGACGGCAAAAACAACTCGTAATTGCTACGCAAAACATTACCAGGAAGTTGGTGGAGGAAATGAGAGGGGGAATAGCTGCACACGCTACGCAGTTTATTTCTCCGTCAGTTGATGAAACGCTACAGTTGTTCTAATCGTGTTAGTAGGTCTGAGGGTGTGTGAAGTGGGAGAGGGTCTTTTCGAAACACTAACCAATGTTTGGGTGGGTAGTAATAGAGGTGATGTCATCATTACAGCGTGGGTCTGGCGAAGGGTGGTGCTTTGAATACTGGCAGCTGCGCCGTCAGTCGACAATTTGGGATGTGGTAATTCAGTCAAAGAGGCTGCGAAGTTATTCAAATTTGTGTACGTTGAGCTATGAGTGTTGGTGTACGTCTGCTGATGTGACTGCCATATTGGGCTCATATGGAGTGTGTCCGTTTGAAATATAATAGGTCGCTGGGTAGCACTGTTGTGGGGTGGAATGGACACCGTTGAAGTGGTTGCTAAGAGAGTAGTAGAGGTGTGGGTTGGGTGAGGCATGCAATACCCTCCTCGGACTTCGTAGCTGGTACCACCAGTTAAATTACACGAAGTTACGCAGGTCAAGCTCTGGAGGTCCCTGTAGTGCATGCAACTGTCGCAGTAGCTCGGCCCGTCCTCAGCACACTTTCCCTTACACTCACTGCTACAATATTCCGACACTGACGTCACCGATGACCGAGACATTCCGTACAGCGTCACGTTGAGACCTGAAATACGTATGTATCCTTCACTGGAGTTGAAATTGACTGCGATGTTCCACTGACCCACGGGGGTTTCCCCCCAGTGCTGCACAGACATAAACGACCAACTCAGGGTCCCCGTATTGACAAAGTCTTTCTCGCGGTGTGGGAGGAGGATCGATTCGGTTCCCGACGGCGAAGTAAGGGAGATACTCACGTCACCTCTCCTTGCTCCGTTGTGCTCGAGGATTCCGTTTATGTCTGCCTGGTCAAAGTGGGTTCCAAACAGGGACTGCATTATGTGGTACTGTGCCAGCGACCGTGGGGTTGTGTAGTTTTCGATGGTCAGCGAAAGTCGGAACACCACATGCTCCAGTGACCTGATCTCACTTTTGTTGCTTTCCACTGAAAAAGCTGTCTGCAGGGTGGTGTTGGCCTCCACTGTCCTGCATTGAACACAAATCTGTCATTTACTGACAATCTTGTACATTGGACTGTGTAGTGAGGGAACCTCAATTTCCGAACCCTCCAGTCCTGTGTAGTGAGGGAACCTAATACAGTGGAACCCTCCAGTCCTGTGTAGTGAGGGAACCTAATACAGTGGAACCCTCCAGTCCTGTGTAGTGAGGGAACCTCAATTTCCTAATACAGTGGAACCCTCAAGTCCAGACACAAATTGGACAGCAGAAGTGTCCATATTATAGTGAGGTGTCCTTATTTGAGGGTTTAGGGGGAGGAAAGGTAAAGAGGTGTCCTCATTTTTGAGGGGTGTCCTTAGAGAGAGGTTCTCCGTGTTCAAAGGTAATACACCTACAAATCATTATGTAAGAGATACAGTACCCGTGGCCAATGTCTGGGAAGTAAGTGGCTTGTTTCTGCTGAGGAACATTGGTCCAGTGTCTGGCTCTGGTCACCAGTGCCTCGGCATCAATGGCTCCAAATCCAAAGTGGTGGCTGACCCACAGTCCAGCTCCGTTCATTCTCCACGGTCTGGGCTCTCGCGGAGTTGTCAGACCTTCGTGTCTGGACGTGTGGACAATCAGATACTGTACGTCCCTCCAAGTCAGATTATTGCTGTTTGTGGACATGGAGAGGGGGAGGGTATAAGCATACGACTTTGACAAATGCCTGCTATATTAAGCAAGCCTGTGGGTCTAATGGGATAGAATTCTGGGAACATCAGTGTATCATTTCAGGGGCCTGGGAACTCACTTAGCTTGCAAGGTGAGTGCAATAATCCCAGCTATCAGAGGAGCTGCAGCACTCGTGCCTTTGAAATTCCCCCTACACCTGTTCCGGTTGTCCGTAGTGACCTATTACGAAGAGTTACATAAGAGTCCGTGACACTAAAACAAGTGGTCTAGAGAACTCAGCCGAGGTGTGAAATGACACTCCCTAGTTCCCATAGTACCAGTAGGCGGAGGATGCTATTTAGTTGATACTTTGAGTATAGTAGGTTCAAATGTCTTAGTATTTCAGGCTAAGTGTCCCTCTTTGTCAAGTTTTGTTCTCCGGATCATGTTGACCCACTATATTATTATTACGGTGCACTGGATTTAGCTCACCACTTGGTGGCTGTTCTGGCCGTTGGCGTTGTGGTTGACCGCAACTGCCAATTTCCCCGTGCAATCTTCGTCAAACGGAGCCTGTACACCGTACTGGTCCACCGAGCCTACCGCAACGGTATAGATACTTGATACGTAGCCGTCCATGGCACACGTGTCTCCGTTTTTCCCTCCATTTCCTGATGCCCACACATATATCACCCCCTTACCACCACGACCCTAAATTGCATAAGGGAATTAAAACCAACAACAGACGTAAAGGGATGATTAATAGGATTATCCAATTTGACTGACTGGTGCAATTACATTAGTTGGCTCTACCAATTCTTGTCGGTCAGGATCAACCATAATGGTATTATGGGAGAGTTATTGAGTCAACATTTCAGTGGCAGGGTGTGGATTGTACCTTCCAGTCGCAGGATTAATGCAGATCATTAATTACTGTTGGCAATTCTTGCTTCTATGCAACATTCTATACTGTGTATAATTATGTGCCAGGCTGTGGGTTGGGACGCTTTTCCAGGTAAGACGAGAATTTCTAGGAACTGGAAAGACGACTATCTGTAACTATGGTTTCACTCGGGTGGGTCTGAAACATGCGACGATGTCATCATGACTTAATAGGATAGTTTAAAGACGTGTAAGTTTCCATGCAGCCAAACCTCTTCAGCGCCTCTCCTCAGGACATGGGTCAGAATGGGGCCCGGACCACCCACAGTGAACCCGTTATCATAGGGACCCCAGCTGCTGCTGTAGATGTCGATGTACTGGTTGGCAAATCCGAGAGAACTTGCTTCTATTGCGTCGGTGGTGTCGTCCCCGTCCAACATTCTCAGACCTGCGTATATAGGGTAATATATAGCTATTATAGGGACAGTCAAATATATAGTAAGACTATGGTTATGGATTGGCCAGTGATAATAGAGGGTGTATATACTGCAGTCTTTGAACTGACCATTATATCCCATAGATATTGCATACATACTTGTTACGATTCATATTGCAGCATGTATGTTGTGTTCCTGCAAACCTCCGGTATATAAAAGTTGCAGCCAGAATAAAGTAGGGGGTTTTCATAGCATACATATAGCTATAATTACTAGATGCATTCTTAGAGCCCTGAGAAAGAACATGCCATAAGGAGGCTTGCAAGTAAAATGTCCAGTGCGTGAGGGACTTCTGTGCAACCCAACTCTGTTGCATTTTCCTCTGCATGCTTAGCCAAACCAAAACTTGCACATCTGAGAGTAAAAACTATAGCAGTCGTGCCAGCGTTGCAGGGAAACGAGTGTGTTGACCAACAATCCTGCGATAAGCTACAAGAGTGACCGCTGGAGAGCTTGCAAGAGGCAGTGGAAGACATGACCGTTTCGTCAAGGTATGCACCTGATGAAACACTAACCTCCACAGGTATGGCGAAAGACCTAAAAGCGACGGGTTCTCAGTTTACCGATTTTGTACCCAGCATATTTTGGACGTGTGCCGTTGACTTCTCAAATGTCATTCTGACACTGATGATAGTTCTGTAATACTATGCAACTCGATATTTGTTGGGGCTTGCTGGTCTTTTTTTTATAGATGTTAATTTTCCCCAGGGAGTAATTTATATCGTTGTGTAATATCATGCAACTCTTGCATTCATTGGAATTCGGATGTAATGGATCAGTCGAATGGGAGATGCTGGTGTTTTGTAATATAATCACAGCGGGGTTAATGTATGTTACTCAACCTGCAATTTGGGTCTCATAAGCAATTCCTGTGCCGCACATGTTGTTGCTCCTCGCCATGGCGATGACCCCTGCACAGCTGGTTCCGTGATTCTCTCTGTTCCGCCGTGGCATTACGTCGTTGTCATTGTCTATGAAATCCCAGCTCAGCTTTGACCTCTGAGATGAGCAAAAAACACCACTCTAAAAAGTAGCTAGTTTATATTATAATGTATATACACATTCCACTTTTATAGACAGTGGAACTCATCTCTAATGACAATTCTGGAATGAGGGCACCTCTCTAATAAAGCTGCCTTTTCTTCCCCCAAGAACAGTTCTTGCAGGCAATTTAATTTTGTTGCTAATATCTTTGTGTCCCATGATTGCAGGAATACCACTGTGTGTGTGTGTGTGTGGAAATGGATGCGTATTCAAAGTTGGAAAATATCTTTAGATTGTGTTTTAAGGAACTCACAAAGTTGGCTGTCAAATCAGGATGACTGTACCACAGCCCTGAATAAAGTGTTTCACAAACACCACTAATAGTAAATCCAGTGCCACACGTATAATTGTAAACCCACCCAACACTAAATGTATACAACACACACCAATAATGCTGCAACCCGTGAGCGGTGTATATTCCCAAGAGAAAGTGAGAATGTGGCGAGAGCAGATGGCAGAGTGTCTGAGGAGGAAGTGTGAGGTCTTACCGTCATCGGTCACACCCACAGTCACTCCTCTACCAGTGAAGAGAAAGTGTGAGGTCTTACCGTCATCGGTCACACCCACAGTCACTCCTCTACCAGTGAGACCCTGGATCCAGGCTGGCTCCACGTTCAGGTCATACCTTCCTCCTACCGCCTCCTGTCCCTCATTGAGCTGGAGAATTTATATATACAGATGATCATATCATCAAAGATTGCATCTGGTGTAGAAAAACATATCAGTCAATATTTAACACAATTGATGTCAAAAGCACTTCAAATAGTGCCTTCTAATCGAGGAGCTTCAAATAGATTGACGGAGAGTGTTCCTTGTGCTAAACTGTTCTTCCTCGGTCTTACCAGTGACCACTGTCTTGGCCACAGCGGGTCTAAAGGTGGGGTATAGGAGGATCGCTTCACTCTCTTCTGAACTACCTGCTCCAGGATGTAGTCAACCTGTAGCAAGAGGAAGAGGGAGAATGGGAGGGCCTGAATCAAATCATTGTATCCTTGTCCGCTGGTATAATTACATAACAATCAATGAAAAATTTTAATGCTACCAAAAAAAGGCAAAAATTTATTTAGTATGCTTTAACTAGCCCACCTGCAGAAAGGCATTTTGATTCTGTGGGCTGTGGAATGCGTGTGCACTAAAGGTTCTAAGAGGTTGCAGTCCTTAGGCGATATAATGACACTTCATTTACTGCTGTTCAACATGCATTGCTACAAATTTCTTTTGCACTTGAGAATGTGGGGAGTGTGGTTTGTGTTCATCCATAGTAAGTGGCTCAAAATGACACCTTGAAAGTACTGGTGTCACGTAATAGCCTTGATCACATTAGGTGTAAGTTATGACACTGATGACACAGTACGGAATCGCTGGTAGCTTATACTTCTTGGCTGGGTAAAGATTACAATACTTGGATCATCATCTACTGATAGGTTAACATAAGAGGACGTGTTGATAAATCCTTTGACCAACAACCCAATGAACTTTTGTCAAGTTCAACACACACTCCTTTTGTGCAAGCGAAAATATTGTTTTGACACTTTGCTGCATATAGGGTCCTTTAGCCCCAATTGGCACAGTCGCATTGCCTACCAAAAGTAGTGGAACGGTGTGCCATGAATGACACTGGCTTAATCTTATTACTCTAATCACACTACCAGTGTTAGCGGTCAGCACTAGTTAATAATAATGTGGGAAGTTTATGCCTCCTCTATACCCAGCACCATTGGTGAACATTTGGCCAAACCGCTCTCTATCTCTCCCTGCATGTCGCAATGCGAAATCCTTGGCTTCTTCCAAGAATTGCACCCTGTCAGTGTCACCATGACAGCCACCCACAATAAACGAACACTTGTGGTGGTTAATTTTTCTGAATCCAATGCCTTCAATCCCGCCCAGGTGAAGCTCAGTCGACTGAAGATCAAATTTCCACGGCCCATTCCAGGCCTTTGCTTGCCTACATCCTTACGTGTTCGTCTGCTTCCAGTTGCTCCTGCTGTGAAAGCAAACTCCTCCTCTTTTGTCCACCTCTTGTACCCTCACTAATGGCCCACTGTCTCCTCTGCATCACTGGTTCAAACACATACATGTCCTCTAAGTTTCCAATCTGCAGCAGTAAGTGGAAACAAGGCAGAGTGACTCCAGACACATTAGCATATCCCGAAGAATCTTTCATCACCAAGTTTTACTTGGAAAATATTTCTCCATGTGTGTTCTTTCGTACTTTTCCGAGGTTGCGGAATCCGTTCCTGGCGGCGATTTTGTCTGCAACCTGGCTGCCCCCACCGCTGCGAAGTCTGACGGCGCAGCTCCGGCGGTTGGCTGCATTAGCGCCCTGGAGCGAGATGCTGCAGTTCAGCAAGGACCAGATCACTGCCAGACAGAGCGGCCAGGCTTTGCGTGCAGGAAAATGCATTCGTATCCTCAGATGACGCGAAGAGAATTGAAAGCGAAGACAGAAACCCGCGCTAAAATACCCTTCGTAAACGCGCATGCGCATCAGTATAAAGGGCGTGGTTCCAATGACCATCATCAAGCGACAGTGCATGTGAGAGAAAAATGCGTCTCGTTCTGCCGGTGGTTCTCCTGGGAGTAGCCGTACTTGCCATGAGCCAGAAGAAGAGAGAGGGTGGCTACGCCGACAGCTGGGCGGTAGAGGTGCGCGGAGGAGAAACGAAGGCCAGAGAACTGGCCGACAAACACGGCTTTGTGTACCGGGGGAAAGTGAGTAGAAGTCGACGTGTGTAGCTATGTGTACATACGTGTTACATCCGCCTGTGTGTGTGTTTAGGTGGGGAGCCTGAAGGACATGTACCACTTCGAGTTGCCGGATAACGGCGGAGAGCACTCTCCGCACAAGACCCGGGCGCTGGAGGCCGAGGACATGGTATGTTATATTGTGGGAGACAGTCTCTCTAGCTAGCCTTTTTACACTCTGGCGGGAAGGTGGAAGAGAGCATAGAGTCACTGCCTTAATTGTAGCCATAGGGAGCATTGTTTGCCACCAGCCATAGTGATGGTGCCGACTTGTATGCCCAGGTGCACTATGTGGAGCAGCAAATCTACCGACAAATGGCCAAGAAACGGCCTTTCTGATGTTCATATCTCACAGACTTTTGTCTCAGACATACTACTGCGCAACACAATACTGTTTTTTTTCATGTCAGAGTAGCAAATATTAATGTATAATACCCCAATCACTGTTAAAAGAAGTTATAGAATTGGAAATTGTAGGGTTTAGAATCGTGAAGCGGGATTCTTCACTTTTTCTCGGCCTTGTTGCACTCATCCCTGATTCTGAGGTAGTCGTCGACGTTCTCCACGGAACCGATGAAGATGGGTGCTCGCTGGTGGATGTCCGTCGGTTGAATATCGAGGATCGGCTTCACACCACTCGAAGCTTTCCCTCCTGCCTGTTCTATGATGTATGCCATTGGGCAACACTCGTAGAGCAGTCGTAGCTAGAGAGTTCAAGGTTGTAGGGAAGCAGGAAGAGAGGAAGGAAGGAGAAACAACAAGAGAGAAAAGACTCACATAAACAGCAGCTGTATATTATAGAGCTATATTATACAGAGGGAGAGAGGCAGAAGGAGAGAGATGGTTCCAAAGATGGTGGCTGACCTTTCCCTTGGGGCTCTTCGTGCTGGCAGGGTACAAAAAGATTCCTCCATACTTGAGAGTTCTGTGCATGTCTGCCACCATGGACCCGACATAGCGAGCTCCCAATGGAGCCCCTCCATCCTTTACACGGTATGAACATTCAGAGCTTATCACATTATGATGTGTGTATATACATACCTTGGGTCTTTTGCACTCCTCGATGTACTTGGTAGTGGACTCGTCCCAGTATTGAGTGTATCCTTCGTTGATGGAGAATATCTTGCCTCTCTTGGGAATGGTCATGTTTGGGTCCGTCAAGACAAACTCTCCTACTGCCTATATACACACGTAATGTACAGTATAGCAGTGTGTTTTAACCCTTGGCTTACTGGGTCTAGAGTGAATCCGTTAACCCCTTGTCCGGTGGAGAGGACGATCATGGTGGCACTGCCGTACAGGGCGTAGCCTGCAGCTACCTGCTCCCTCCCTGACTGAAGGAGATCCGCTTCACATGCTGGTCCCTCACAGATCTGACGAGAAAAATTCTCAGGTTGTTTAGGGAGAGAGGGGGAAACTGTGTGCAACCCCTAAGAAAATGGCGTCACCCCCCTGAACTTAGCCACAAACGACTTGCTAAATTATCCTTTTTTTGGTGTGCCCTCTTGAAAACCTTTGTAGAGAACCCACTGCTGTATAAAGTGGCTCACTTTCTTCCATATTCCAAATATGGAGCCGATGGAGACGAGACAGTCAATGTTGGAAGACCCGTCCAGAGGGTCGAAGGCAACGACATATTTCCCTCTCTCGGCAGCCGTGACTTCAATACACTGCTCATTCTCTTCAGACACCATGACTCCGACCTGAACATGCACACACACACAGGCTCTTGAAGAGGGTCAACGTGGGGCAAGTTCCTAAATTGATAGCTATTCCAGTAAAGCGTGGAGTGATGCATTAGCTAACATAGAGAGTACCAAATAATGTGGTAGGGAGATATGGAAAGGCTTTATTAGTTTAAGTCTCTGTGCAGTCTCCGTGCGGAGTGTATATATACGGACCTCAAAGGAAGACTTGAGCATGTTGATAAATAGGTCGTTTGCCAGCACGTCCAGTTTCTTCTGGTCTTCACCCTGCACGTTGGCCACTCCTACTGCTGTTCCCCTGGATAAACAATAACAGACAAACTGCATATATACCACATATTCAACGAATTATGCAAAATAGTCTGCCGCCAGCAGACACGCAAACTACGTGTATAGCTATACACGTGCACAAGGAACTCACAACTTGGCGAATCCGGCCCTGCGCACTGCAGTGGAGATGGCCTTGATAGCGGTGAGGAGGGAGTTGAGTAGCATGGTGAGGCTCCCCGTCGCTCCCTTCACCTTCCGCTGCTCGTTGAGCACGTACCTCGTCAACGTCATCGTATCGACGTCCACCTCCGCATCTAATCCTGTGGCAGACATGGCTCCTCCGCTCTGCCCTAGTTTCTCTACCTCGAGACAGAAGACGTAGTGACAGCTATGGGCAAATTGCAAGCCTGGAGGCGGACGTGAAACCAATGGAAGAATTCAGGGCTGCTCGATCGTGCAGCTGGGCGGTGGGCTCCACCCCTTTATTATGCGCATGCGTAGGTTTAGCGGTGCAAAGACCTAGGGTCAGAGTACACAATGCAGCATTTCCCTCGCGAGTCGCGAGAGCTGCGCGAGTCTCGTCCATGGCTGTTCGCCCAACAAAGACTACGACATTCAGTGTGACGACACCTCTGAGCTGGTGAAGGTCTCAGACTTCAAGAAACGCTGCAAGGAGCTCTATGATGACATTGTCGGCGAGCACGTGAGCCACAAAGGAACTCACGTGACTTACCCCAAGGAAGTCGTCGAAATTTGCAAGTCGGTTTTCATACATCTTTTTTTGTTGCTAATAATTTTTTCTTACGTTACAGCACAGAATCACTGATGGTAGGTCATAAAATTCTGTTGCAGATTTCATTTTCTTGTCTTTCAGCCAGCGGATGGACTGGACCAGTACATCAAAAGGAAGAAACCGACCCTCAAAAACACCAAACTTCAGTGCATCAAGTATGTTATAATTATGGCGGTCAATGCACGAAATTTTTTTACCCCAGTAAGAGTATCCTTGTCCTCTAAAAAGATTGTATATACTGCTGATCCACGGATATTTAGTGCCTCAAAACATTACGTGGTGACACTGTCCGCACCAGTGTGACTTATTCTTATGTAGCCAAGCCGATGTTCAAAAGGAATACTTTGACAAGAAAGGCCTTGTTTACCACGGGCATGGGGAGGCCATTACCTCTTCAAACACCACCACTGGAGGTGAAACATCCTCCAGCACTTCCGTGGCGACAGTCGACCATGGAGAAGTCGTTCTTTCTGTTTTTGTCTACCATCCACTAAAGGTTTGATCAAGGAGAGGGCTCCTGCCTAATTACAAACTTAAGAGATAGAAAAACTTCATCAATATTATTATTTGTAGAGAAGTAGACGGCTTGCTTCACTACATCTATATACTGCCTCAAATTTCATAGGCCAAAGGTTTCACGCATGACTCTAAAACTGTTCTCCCTCAACAATTTCCCACTCTGACATGTGAGTAAGGAGTTTTTTCCCTGTTTCTCTTCCAAAGAAACGTCAAGAGACAAGGATGTTTGTGCTGGGTTGCCAGCTCCTCACGGAGATCCGTGACAAAGTTACGTGTTTTAGAGATTTCATCGTAGACAGGGACTTCAGCAAGGACCCAGACGAGTTTGATCACACACCTCTAATGACAGGGGCTGCCCCCAATCCCTCGGTTTCCGCCTTCTTCTTCATCAATAACACCTTCTATAATGACTGTCGCCATCCCTCTAGTGTTGGCCTCAGCTCGTGAGTTTTGTTGAGCCTGTTTAAAAATTTGCATAGGGCAAAATTGACTTTTACCTCATGGTGGGCTTTCCTGATTAGTAAATTAAGTTGTGGGATCAGTGTAACCAGCATGGGTAGCGGAAATCATTATCAGAGGCTTGGTGTACTATTGTGTGTAGACCAATCATTGAGTGGAGCCAACAGACGGACCTGGACGAGTCACCTCGTCTGGACCGCTTCCACAAGGCAGACATGGCAACTACCAGACTGGACCAACTGTCTCTGCGACTGGGCTACCCCTACCTCTTCTGCCATCACAACACTTGCCAGCACATTGTCATCTTCACAGATCTCAGGCGAGCGCCCCACTGTTCTTAGGGAGAGGAGCTTACCAACTATATATATATATACAGCCTTGAAAACCGCATTTAGATAGCGTACGTTTGATAGATTTAGCTGGTATGCTTGCTTTCTCAGCTTTAAAACATTTTGTAGGACACCACAAAAATTGGGTGTGTTTGGTTTTGATTGTTGGTGCAACCACCAACCAGATCCTTCTGTTTGTGCAGGTTACTCCACCCGACAGAGAGTCAGCTGGTCTCAGACTATCCCAAGATCTTCCCCATAAACTCCGGGAAGAGAAAACTCTGTCAGGTCTGCAATCTCTTCTCTCCTCGCTGGGTCACGCTGGAAGATGAACTCGCCCCCGAGAGCCCCTGTCTTTTCTGCAGTGATTGCTTCAAGAAACTCCACTACTCGGCCGAGGGGAGGAAAATATGTCGTTTCAAGGCCTACCCTTACAACCCTACCATGTTGTTTTGACATCATAACAAGTGTTTCTTACAGAAGTTTTTGCGATTCAGTAGCAAGTGAGAATTCTGAGAATGTTTGTGGATCGCTATACCCACCCGCCTGCAGAATTTGGCAGGGAAAATGCAGGTGTTCCTCGCTAACCACGAAAACATAAAACAAGGACCAGCCATTAAAACGTGGGACCCGGCTGATAGCTCCTCCCAAGTTACACACAGTCACACCCAGCATACATCACTGGCTACATACAAACATGAGACCACTACTGTATACTAAGAGGTTTTGTGAGTGGTGGGTGTTACAGTGGCCTATATAGATTAGAGCTTCCTTCTCATGGTGAAGTGAGAGAGACAGGGGTCAAAGTCTAGCAACTTATGATCCAGCTGCTTCATTGAGTCAATGTGGTGAATTTCTGCACGGATTCATAGAATATCATATAAAATAAAATGTAAAGTTGGCTGGGGCCTGCAGAAATTTTGCAAACATGTTTTTTCTTAGACTTACTACTGAGGCATGTTGTCTGTGATTGCTGTAGCAGCTGGTCCCATACTGCGAGTGTATCTCTCACTCCTACATTCTCCCCTCCCTCCGATATTTTCACCCCTCCGTCCCTCTCATTCTCGTGTCTTCCTCTTTCAACACCACCCTCCAACTGAGCAAGGTGCACCTGAGAAGTATGGTGCTCCCTCGAGTTTTTGAGTCTTGTGAAATTGTCACTGTTGTGGCTATGCTGTGACTCTCTCCTCTTCTCTCTGTTGGCCAAGAGTTGAGAGAGACTCGTGTTGGTGGCCACACCACTACTTCCACTCCTCCCCCTCCTCTCCTTGTGCAGCTGCATTAGAGTGGCAAGCCGGGGTGTCTTGAATGGGTCACCACTACTGCACACCTTCTACACAGTCAGATGAAAAGGTGATAAACTTTGTTGCTTTGTACTTTCACCTTGATGTTTGTATATATGTAAACATATAGGTTTAGGATATATAACATGTTTGGGAGGGAATCTTTGCAAAACTCCACTATCTCTCAGTACCTCATTCCGGTGACAATTTTTGAAAAAGAGCAAACCTGGACTAGATAGTGAGGAAGAACTAGGTATCGGCCAAGTGGGATGTCGTGCACCGTACATCTCTTCTTCACCACCTCACTCAGCCACACAGATTGGAAAACCGTCACACCAGGTTGAGTCTCATAGATTCTGAGACAAGGACTGAGAGTTAATTACGCACACAGATATAGGGTCTCCCCTACCGTACTGTGTCAACCGAATAGGAATTGTCACTGAAGAGGAAGTCTGCTTTGTCTTCAGCTGCGAAACATCCTCCAAACTCATCTGTAGTTTATTGCAGTGTCATACAGAGATGCATTAGAGTCCCAATTGCTATTTTTACCCCATTTCTTGGCCATGCAGGGTCTTACACTTGATGAGAACCATGCTGACAATCCCCGGAATGGGAGGTAGGCATCAACTCGACCGCTCATGGCGCAAAAAAACCGAATGGCTGTTTTCAAGTCTCCCGCCAAATTGTGGGCGCGCCGTGCGCATTGTGCGCATGCGCACGGTTCTTTCCAGGGGTTTAATATTACTCTTCTAATTTAGCGAACAACCCGCCTGGCATGTTTCACTATTTCACGGTTCTGCACTCTGCGCCCATAAGCTAGTGCTGTGCTTGGATGAGCGAGGGAGAGAGATCGCTCTACGGAGGTGGATCCTAGTCGAAGTCGGTCCGAGATAAACTCAGCCCAGACCTAGAGTACTCCGATCTGCGCGCAGCAGCGTAGCGTGCCACCCAGCCGAGTACCTTAGCTCCCCGGTTGCCCGTTCTCTTCAGCGTGACCTCTCGGCCAGAAACGCTCTCTCCTGAAAGCGACCCCTGGGTGGTTTGAATCCGTGTCGGCCGCCGCTCCTCGCTCATGATCTCGACGCAGCCCCGTCCGCCGAACATGGAGCGGCCACCGTCGGGGACTCCGGAGCCCGAGGCCATGGACTCTCCCGGTAGCCCGAAGTCCTCATCCGTCTCCACGACCACCATGCCGAAGAGCCTTCCTCCCGGCTGGAAGAGAGAGGTGGTGGTGAGAAAGAACGGGCTGTCGGCGGGCAAGAGCGACGTCTATTACTACAGGTGAGTATAGACCTCTCTGAGGGGGAGTAGGTAGAGCAAAAGGTGTGTGGGGGATAGGAGGAATAAAAGTGAGTCCATTTCTCAAAAGAGGGGTATGTTGTGAGTACTCGTAAGGGGTGGGAGGGGTGTCGGTCTGTCGTAGATGGCGTCGCCCCGTCACAATAGGACTTCTGTCACACGTGTGTCAATTACCGCGCTCTCCCCGCGTCTCCATTTCAGTCCGTGTGGGAAGAAGTTCCGTTCCAAGCCTCAGATTGCCAAGTTCCTGGGCGAGAACCACAACATGGACCTGTCGTGTTTCGACTTCAGCCGAGGGGCGTACGGAGAGGTCACGCAGAGACGGAGAGCGAGGGACCGACAAATCAGCCGAAAAATGGAGTCCGTTAAACCCATGCCAGTTGTCAAGCCTTTATCCGTTAACCCTCTCAGAGCTTCGGGCCCCATCCGACGAACGTGTGGGGTCATCAAACTCCCCGTTACGTGGGTGGCCCCCCCAGATGACGATCAGGGGACCACAAATTTCAACACCCTTACCCCCAGCGAGCAGAAATCGCAGATTCACGTTATTGTCCAGTCTCTCTGGGAGAAGCGATTGTTTGGGGTAAAACCCTATGATCACATGACAGGCGACGAAATTGCGGAGGAAAACAAGGTGGAAGTGAAACCAATCACCCCCATGATGTCAAAGCCGCACAGCCCGCGCAACGTTTCCCCAATTCCTCCCCTCTCCCATTCCCCCATCTCTCTCTCGGGGAACGGAGGAGGCGGAGGAGTTCTGTTGCCGGTCAAATCGGCTGCCGGTATCATCCCTGTCTCGTCATTTCGTCACCACCATCAAAAACCTCCAACCAGTGGAGGAGGTGCACTTTCGCTGCTGCCTAGTCTTCTACAGGCCGTCCCACTGGCAAAAGCCCGGGACCCCCACCAAACAGTCGCTCATGCGCCGACGTCCAACATGACGCCTAATTTCTCTGTGATTCAGCAGACAGGCCAGCCGATTATCGTCCCTCAACACGCCACCAGCACAGCGGCGAGTTTGCTTCCCCAGCTCTCGCCCTCCCCTCACCAGAGGCTGCTAGCACCAGCTCCTCCGATGACGACAATGTCACTGGCTCGCTACCCTCCCTCCACCACCCAATTCACAAACGGCGTAACCGTGTCGTCGTCCAGACCCCCCGTGGTCTCCGTGGCGCCGATGGTGACCGACCGAGAGCTCAAACTGCAAGAGGAGCGGGTGCGCCTGTTGCGTCAGCGGCTCCTGGCGGCTGCAGGTGGCGGTGGACAACAGCCCTCGTCCTAGCTCGGCTCTCACCGGGCACGGTCAGGGCTGTGAGTTGTGGTCAACTTCCTAGTGCCCTTGTACAAACAACACAATCAGTCTCTCACCCTGTCACACCCCCTTGGTCATCAGGAATCTTCCTGTCTTCCCTCCCTCTCTCTGTCTGTCTCTCCAGCTCTTGATCAGAAATAGTATTATTTTTTGTCAGAGTGCCCTATGTTGGGTCTATTTTATATAAGGTTAACATGTGGAGTGTGTTGTACATCTCTCTCTCTCTATTCATTCTCTGCCTCACTCTCTCCTTTCTCCCCTCCCTCCCATTGTCCCTCTGCTATCTCAGTGGGCACCTGTGGAAACTTTTCCACCCCACAAAACTCTTATCACTCACTTCCATGGCACCAAGATCCTCTGGTCTTGTGGCTGTCTGGTCTCACTAACCTGTCCCTGTCTCTGTCTCCCTTCCTGCATGTTTTCTGTATGTCAGTTTTCGTGTTATATTATTTTAATTGTTGGATTATCATATTATATCTAGTGCTGCACATATAACTGGTGGTTTCTGTTTTCACTGATTCTAAATTACATCATCATTGCATCATTATCCTATCCCCCCGATTGGTCAATCAGACACGGTGCTTGTTTTGTAATTTAGCCAGCGGGTGTCGCAATGCGTGCTGAGTCACACGGAACATGCAAAGTGTGTAGCGTTGCAATTAGGGACAAGTTTTTTCCCAGAAACTACCATGTATTGCATGTAGAGGTCAGTGTTGTCGACATAGTCTGGTTTCTACGCTACATTAGATTACACAATGCGATCCTTGGCACGTGCGGAACAGTTAAAAATACGTATTTTACGCCGTCGTGTGTGATTGTTGCACATGCAAAGCATGCTCGACTATCACATTGTGTGGTGTGGACAAATGGTGGGGCGGAGAGCATGAAGTCGAGGCCGTCAATAACACGAACATGAACATGAAGAAAACATGGGAAGGGCAGAAAAGTAAGAAAGTAGACTATAAAAACTCGCAAGGGAAGCGAGGTGTGTAGGGTACTTGTACTATAGATCGGAGTGGTTCGACTGCATCGAAACTCATGTGATAGAACTCATGACATGTGTCGTGTTAAAGAACTCATGTCAGTAGCTTAATTTTGGTTCTTTTGAACAAAGGCCAACAGCAGACAATGGACGTCTCCGATCCTGAAGTGTCCAACTTCCCGTTGGGTCCCTGAGTGGCGAGAGAGGAAAGAGACAGTGTGAGAAAGGCTTCAGCAAACCCGCCACACTCGCAGAGCACAGTTCCAGGGCTCCTGAAGTGAAGCTGGTGACCCTACCTCCATATCCTGGTTGTGACGTCCATTGTTAATTGGCGTGTAATTGCCTCCTGACCTCTGTGTTGCTCTGGACTCTATCTTACCACGGAAAACAACTGAGGTCACGTCTCACTCTTCCAAACACAGAGCACCCCTTTATGTGGTTGCCTTGCAAGGAGAGTGAGAGAGGTGACTTGGGAATGAGCGACTGTTGAAGGCAGCTGCGAAAGTGGAACACCTCAGAATCAGGTCACTGTGTGTGTGAGTAACAGGGTGTAACGTAATCATTTCTCACGGGGAAAGGGCGCACCCATGCATGCATGTCTTCACTATATTATATGAACCCCTCTAATCTGGTCACAAAAGAAGAAAGTGTCCAATTTGTGAGGTGTCCCTATTCCAGGGTTATAGAACCCTAAGGTGTCCTTAGAGAGGAGTTCATTACTCCATGTATTACACTCGCTAGCTGTTCATGTGTAATTCTAGTGTACCTGCTTGTGTTGCACTGAGGCCTTATGATAATACAAGTTCGGACACTGAGTTGGCAGGGTCACAAATACTTGTTTCGCAATCGCCAGGCAGGCTCAATATGCTGTAGACGTCGTCGTGCCTACGTGGCAATACATACATACACACAGGGTATTGCGGAGCCGTGTATATACAATTCGTAGCCAGTAGGGGCCGGACAAGGCAGTGCATACCTGAACATTCCCCACCTAGTGTTCGCCTGAATGTCCGCCCGCTTAGCGTCAATACATGTCGTACAAAACCACAAACAACACCCTCTAGCACAGTCGGCACACTGCCGGCTTGCATGTGCAGCAGTACAACTGCTAATGACATTGGTGTCACCTGACATCAGTGTGATACATCATGTGACAAAGGAATGTCCAATTGATTCCATTATAGTTCAGGAATAAATACCCAGGAAATTTCTGGGGCTACTGTGACTTCCCCCAACACACAATGGCAGGAACGAAAGGAACAGAAGGTCGATGGGAATTTGCCCTGAATTTCATTTCATGAAAATGGTGAATTCTTGAGAAAGTATTTCCATCCCCAGATATGACTTGCAGCTGCTAGTGCAATGGCTGAGACTGAAAATGAAAGCATCTAACGCCTTACGTATAGTCTCTGAAGCTAAAAATAATATTGTACTGTATACACCGACATAATTATGCACACTGTTTTTATTACACAATTGGAACAGGACATTGGAACAGGACATTGGAACAGGACATTGGAACAGGACATTACAAAACGGCAATATTATAATAATAGTCTATTATACATTGTAGTAAGGGATGTGGAATGGGAATGGGAGAATGGAATCATGAGAATGTGTCCTGTACATTCCAGGTAGTTTGTCTGGTATCCTCGTGATAATAGTAGACTTGGCCGTCTTCTAGTGTCACCACCTGCCATTTCGAGCCTGGCTGCTTGCTCCTCTGTGGAAGGGAGAGAGAGGAGAGAGAGAGGAGAGAGGAGAGAGAGGAAGGGAGAGAGGAGAGGGAGGGAGGGAGAGAGAAGGGAGAGGGTAGGGAGAGAGAAGGGAGGGAGTAGGGAGAGGGAGGGAGAGAGGGAGAGAGAGAGAGAGAGAGAGAGAGATAAGAGAGAGAAGTGCGAGAAAAAGAAAAAAGAAGAGAGTGGTTGAATGTGGGGGACGCAGCAAGAGAAAGAACAATACACATTGGACCAAGCATAATGTGCCACTGCCAACACCCTCTGAATACAGACAACCCTGTATAAATGACAATTTCATGGCCAAAGTGTGTCCATTGTTCCACTCTGTCGTCAGCGTTTACTCCTTCTCCAAGGATAGCACAAACAGGGCTATATAGCAGCAACAACAGACTGACGATGGCACTACATACATATTATATATGCAGTTTCTATTTCACAACAAGCCCAGCGTTGCTTCAAGATACACAGAGACCAGAGCTGGTGTACTCATACCCGCCACTGTTTACTTCTGTGTCGCTAACAGACACACAGGCACCGAAGCAATGAATAACGTTAGTGGCGGCTAAAATAGCAAATCACAAACATTGTCTAGGGTCACAATGGGGACACCGAAATACACGATGGCAAAATACAGGGCACCTCACACCTTTCCACAAACCCTCAGTCAGAATACTTCTGCAATCAGGACACCATAAGATGTCAGAATACCTTATTTGTCCAGATTTGAAGACCTGTTATGACATCATACATATCAACACCCTATACACCAGTAGACAGGTAATCTCTATGACCCTATTAGCACACTAGCTATAGTGTTGTGGCAAGGGGAGAGGAAGGAACCAGTTTACACATTTTCTTGAGAATCGGCTCCCAAGCAGATGCCTTGGGATGATTCAACACTGTTTGCAGCATTCTCTCGCCCTTCCACCCTCTTTCTTCCCACTCCTCTCGCTGTCCTTTCCCAAGTTTATCACTTGTTAATTACACACCAGATATAATACGTAGGCTCTGGTGCAAAACTGTAACCCCTCCCTCTCTCTTGTAACGAGATAATGAACTATTAAGGTAGAGCACCCGCTATGATGAAATCATCACTCCCTCACTCCCTGTGCCAAGTCAATCTGCCAGCCCGACTATCATTTATGACTGACGATTACGTCATAATTATGTAATCGGAGACAGCTAGGGTATTGGGACTGAAAACGAAAGAGGAAAAAAGGCAAAAAGACTTTGAAGCAAGGACAACAACTTGAGCAGTTAAAATGACAGCCGAAACATGGCAATTGGCTAAGATATCAAACCCAATTGACGTATTGCGCAACTTGTTTTCGTCCATGCGTGGGTTGCATACACATTGACGCACACTTGTTTTCAAGCAGACGTGGGTTGCACAGTAAAACACACTGCCACTAACAAATTGTCTATCCTTACAACTTTGGTTAGGGTGAGTTCTGAAATACACACACCACATCGCCGCTAGCTGACCTTCTCTGATTTTTCCTGCCCACTGCTGGATGCCACGACCTCGGCCAAACTCCACATAGTGGAGCCTGTCTCGGTGTTGACAAAGAACGGTTTGGAGTCGCAGTAGCCTTTCCTCCACCCTCGAGGCAGCTTCTGTAGACGAGAGAGAGAGGAAGAGAGAGAGAGGTAGAGAGGGAGGAAGAGAGAGAGAGAGAGAGAGAGAGAGAGGGAGGAAGAGAGAGAGGAAGAGAGACAAAACAATAGGGCCAAGTGCAAAAACTTCCGTTTTTAAGTACTGCCAGAAAGCAAAAATATTCGATTTTCGTTGATAAAACCTTCACAGACGGCTGCTCTACTACATGCGTTGCAATTATGGTAGACACACACACAAATAGAGAGATACTACGCACCTGAGCAATTTCGTCGGTAGATGAGTGACTGGAACAGTAACCATCTGAGGACAGCTGTCGCAATGCACTCGTGGCTCGCCCAATGGAATACCCGGAATCTCCCGCATTCCTCGCTGCCACACCCACCATTACATCGCCGCCCTCGACCGGTCTCGGGAACCGGTTTGACTGGAATCTGCTCGCAGCTGGGCTGGATCCGGGAGAGTTGTAACCAGAGGAACTCCCTCCATTTGTAGTCGAATTGGAGATCAAATGTTTGCGATGAAGGGAGGAAGATGAGGAGGTGGAAGTGTGACGATGGGAAGAGGAGGGTGTGTGAGGGTGTGAGGAGGATGTGGAGGAGGTTCGACGGGGAAGAGACTGCGACTGGACCGCAGAATGAGTGCCGGAGGAGGGAGAGGGGGAGTGGTCTGGTGAGGGTGTGTGTGGTGAGGGGGAGAGCTCGGAGTGTGACCGTAGCAACAGTTTCGTCGGTTTCCCTGGGAGACGGGGTCGGGGGATTGTGATTGGTTGACTGGGAAACCCTCCCGGGTGGTGGTGGTGGGCACTAATTGGAGTGGCTGGAAGCGAGAGCGGGGAAGGGGGAGTGAAATGTGTGGCATTGGAGGGTGTCGCAGGGAGTGACTGGGGGTTCATTACCACGTACTCCTCTGACTCGTCCCCCTCGTCTGGGGGGCTCAAAATTTCCCCCTCGGGGGGTGAACTAGCGGACGATATACCTTTAGGAGGGAGAGGCGGTGCACCGGGTCCGCGAGGTGGGATGGGGGGCGGGGGAACGAAATTCACATAGGAATGAGGGGAAACAGGAGGGGACGGCTCCTTTTGGTTTTCGTAGGTGTGGTCTTGTTTGGTCCCCTGGGGGAGGTCATAGACGTCGTCGAGGGTGTTTAGGAGGCGTGGCATCGCGTACAGCTGCATTACACTTCCTCGCTGGCCGAGCTTCCCTCTCTCTTGCATCATCATCAGTCGTTTGAGAGTCACGTATCCGCTCTGGTTGCCACGGTCACCGCAGAGCCTGTCTTGAATCCCCTTGTCCTGTAGGACGCGTTCAACGGCGAGAACCCAATCGAAATGGTCGCTAAGGCACTCTGCCTGCAGGACTACTTGACTCGTCTTGTCGAAAAGAGAAATGAAATAGTTCCCTCCCTCTCGTCCCTCTCGAGGGTTGTGAACTTTGACCTTCACGGCATCGAGGAGGGAGAAGAGAGTTTCGGGTCGACCTCTGACGAGACACTGGACGAGTCCAGAGCTCTTCAACACAGTCCAGTGACGACCGTAGTCTACTGCGGAGTATACTCCGGAAAAATTCGGGGTACTGGCGAGACGACGATAGAGTGGGGGCGGGGATTGGAGTGGGGAGGAGTCCCCCGACTCCAGAGCGAATTCCTGGCAGTCGAGGTACCCCGTGTGGACGACTACTCCGTCTCTGGAGTGGAGTAACATGGTGGACGGGTCGAGGTGGCTGGCGGCCTCGAGGGCTTCGATCCAAAGCAGCATGTCTTGTTTGTCAGAGGCAGAGAATATGAACTGACCTCCGTCCGCTGTCCCCACACGTACCATTGTGCTACTGGATACGGGGAGGGGGGAGGGGGAGAGAAGAGAGACGGAGAAAGAAGTGGGAAGACAGCAAAAAGTAAGCGTTAGTGCTTTAAAACTACATCTTTTAAACTACATCGGTTCATGGTCAGTCCAGATTGCAAGTGAGAAAAACGAAAAACTAACCTCTTCTTCCCACTGAGGGGCGAGACGGAACAGCTCTTCACGTCAACAAACGATTCAAACTGCTTCACTCCTTCATCCTACAAACACACACATTACACACAGTTCATCTTAGGTGCCATACGCAGCTGGAGACAGGGAAGACGGATTTTCCACCAAAAAAACAGTCCCCCAACCTCAAGCACTGGTAAAATTTTGACTTGTGCCCAACTCAATTTTTAAACTCGCACTTACGCACCCACTAAAAATATCCCCCTGCCTCTTAGAGATTAAAAAATGTAAGAGAAAAAGAAACAAACCTCCTCCTCTTGGTAGCAGAGGAGAGAGGATCCGTCGAGGACACACCAGCGCCGCCGATGGCTTCCTCCGAACCCCTGCTTCCCCCTCTTCCCCGTTCCCCCCTCCACCGTCACCAGGTAACCACGGGTACGGGGGTCAAAGGTCGTTGCATAGGACGGCTGCAAACATACATATATATATATACCAATGAGCAGCCAAAGTTGTACAGGCCAGCATTTGGCAGAGTTTCTCATAGTGCACCCTTCCTTAAAATTTAAGATGCTAAAAAAGTTGTTAAAAAAAATGGAGATTCACATTTTGTTTGATGGAATTGACGATTTCAAGAATGGCAGTTCCCGAGGTAAAGATACACAACACGAACATGGCGGTGGGCGGAGCTTCGGCCTTCACTGCCAGAACTCGCTCGTCGGAGGATAGGTAGCGAGCAGCTGCATCAGTGGTATGAGGGTTAACCAGAGCGAGGCTGTGACTGAGAGGATGGGGGGGGGGGAGTGGAGAAGAAAAATAATGTCAAAAAACACAATCTAGTTGCTTACTCAGCATGAGGTATATACAGAGGTCAACACAAGGGCTAGTGCATATAAACAGTTTATTACACAGTGGGACAACAGTCACAACAGTTGACCTGAGGTGTCTCAAGTCAGTTTCTCCCTCAGTCATGAGTCACAAACAAGTTTTACAAACTACAGAGTTCTGAAAGACCACCTTTATCCCTGCCATTTCTTTCAACAAATTGGAGTATTACTCACGACTTGGCGTCCATGTCGGTTTTGCCGCACTTGGCCAGTGCGACCTGCACCACCTCCCCCGCAGTTGTCTTCTTCCCGCACACCACGACCACCCGGTGGTGGAAGGGAGACACAAGAGCAGTCGCCACTCGCAAGAGACCGCCTCCCTTGGCCAGGACCTGCGGGTATGACAGTTCTTTCACTTTCACCTTGGGCCCTCCTCCTCCTCCTCCTCCTCCTCCAGCCGTGCTAACACTGCTCGATGAAGATTTCAGGGTCGATCTGAAGTGGTACAGAGGCAAAGGGGGAAAGGGTTTATAGTATATATACAATCCATGTAGAGTGTCTGAGTGTATGGAGGGAAATACTCACCTCTTTCCCTCAACACTATCATCTGAAGTGGAGCTGTTCTGCCGAACCAGCTCCCCCTTCTGAACCTTGACCTTCAGCGGCTCCAGGTGCTTACGGATGACGTCAGCGAAACACGGTCTCTCCGTTGCCCGTGGCAACCAGCAGCGGAGCATGAGGGAGTACAGTTCGTCAGGGCAGTTGTGCGGCTGCAGGTGACGGTAGCCTTCTGCAACCTTTGACCTCACAGTCTGGTTGCTGAACGAGGCGTAGGGAACGGAGCCAAACGTGGCCATCTCACAGAGGAGAACTCCAAAACTCCTGTAGCACCAGCGAAAGAAGAAGAAGAAGGAGAGAGAGAGAGAGAGAGAGGAGAGGAGATAAAGATGCTAAGGGCTTCAAAACATAGGGTCCGCAGCTAGAATTGAAGAAATTTCGAACTAACTTTCCCAGATTACATACACAGGTTTTATACGCTTATATGTAGAGAGCTCACCAGAGGTCAGAGTACACAGTGAGTTGTAACTGCTGGAAGACCTCTGGAGCCGTCCAGCGGAGGGGTAGAGACTCCACCCCTTCAGGGGTCAGAGTACAGGAGGCGTGGCCAACTCTGCGTGCCAACCCGAAGTCGCAAACTTTGGCGACACCGTTGGCAGTCAGACGGACGTAGAGAAAGGGTTAAAGAAAACAGTGGAAAGTTCCGGAAAGTTGAACTTTTGTAGTCGTGAATAATGATGGGAGCAGAGGCAGTGTTGGGTACATTAAAATTTAATTCTTGGGAGAGGGGGAGAGGAAGGCAGTAGTACACACCCTACTACTCGATTATTAATGGATGAGTGAGAGAGAGAGAGGGGGGAGGGAGGGAAGGAGGGAGAAGGCGGCCCGTGGTGAGTGTGCAACCAACGGTGTATTTTTCATGTGCCACTGTACAAGCAACAAACAGCAGAGTATGTAAAAAGTAAACAAGAGAGTGTTGTTGGCAGTATTCGAAAGAGCTGCTGCATGTAAAGGGAGTGGTTAAAAAGGGGTGTCTTTTGAGATAAGGCCTAGATGATAGGTCATGAATACAGCACGGCACACACCCTTAAAACAACTTTGTCCTCCCGACAAAACGTCTATAAAGCCACAGGGTACACAACTGCCTGAGAAAGGAGGGAGGGAGGGAGGAGGACAAGGAGGGAGGGAGAGAAAAAGAGGAGTTTGGATATGTTTCTGGCTCCAAGGTCGCAGTGCAGTACACCCTGAGAGTGCAGATAAGCCATGGCTGACGCCACCTCTGTTGCAGTGGCGATTATCTCTCTGTATCCCAGCTCGGCGTGGTTCAGAACCTCCAACAGTGGTGTCGGAATGAACTCCTGAAGGGAGGGAGGGAGGGAGGGAGGGAGGGAGGGAGGGAGGGTAGAGGAATACACAATGAATGGCCAACTCGACACATGAAAGTGCAGACAAACCAATTACATAGCCCACACATACGACTTACTACTGCTTTCATGTTTCCCCAGAGTATAGTAAGATGTAGAGAGAGAGAAGAGTACCAGGAATTGTTGTGTGTGTGTGAGTGAGTGAAAGGCTTGCCACTATTGCATGGTTGTCTTTGCCTGTTCCCAGGCCTTTGCTGTGATCGCTGCATACTCTATGCAGGGCGCCTGGGCTTTATCTGAAATGATTTGAGTAGGCAGATGCTAAACTTCAAAGAGAAGGCAAAACACTCCATCTAGTGAGCCTACGTGGTAATGAATGGCACATGGCTTTGTCTTCAAACAAGTCCTGAATGAAGTGGCAATAGCTCTGAAAGTATTGACGACAAGTTCTCTCGTGCCACAATGCTGTACACTGTCTGTATATATGTATGCCAAGACTGAAAGGTCTTATGTACAACACGTGGCACTCTCCGAGAGAGAACATACGGTATTAGCCGCACTCGTCATGTGATATTCACACAGGTCATGTGACAGTCACGTGAGCTCTCACCAGTATGATACAGGTGGGGTCGGAGGTCAACGTAACGGCCTGCAACTGAACGATATTCGAATGTTCCAATTTCCTACATGAAACCAAACACAAGGAAATTGACATTGTCAAAAATTTCTCTCACAATAATCAGAAATGCAGAAATTGTAGTGCTTACGGAAGGAGTTCCAGTTCGCGATCGAAGCTTTCTCGAGCCTTTTCCCCGCAATCAGGTTTGAGTGTCTTTATCACGACAGGGTCTTCCTCGTCCAGAAACCCACCAAACACCTCGCCGTACTTGCAGCTCCCGAGGGCCGTCGTGAATTTGAGCATTGAAAACGGGACGTCCCATCCGAGGATCGTACCGACCCGTTTTCTGGCAGCTATAATGTCTTTCTTCTTGGAGACGAGATTTGGAATTTGGGTCTTGTCGAGAACATAGTGATTTCCCTGGGAAGACAGAGGGACATGGGTAACATTAGGAGTTGAACATTAACTCCCTGGGAAGACAGCCAGGGACATTGGTAACATTAGAGCTGAGAATAAAGCACATTAATTGATACACTACATACACAGATCAAAGGTTGTTTAAAGACTTGTTTTTATTATTATACTAACATTCACATGTTCATTCTAGTAACAAGGGCTCAAAAGATAGGCTCCAACACCCCCACTCCAACAACAAGTGAAAAACAGCAACGATGAAACGCGGGAGAAATGAAAAGGTAAGAGAGTTAGGGTAACAGAGGTAGCAACACACAGAGAGGGGGCCAACATGATTATCACCAAGAATCTACACCTACCGACCACCCTTTTCCATCAGAGAATGCTAAATTGGGACTTCTCTCCAGTGGCAGGCTCTCGTGCCAAGCCAAACATGCAATCTTATTACCTCCTCCTTTTCGGTGATGATTGCCGCAGAAGTCATACCGATAACTTCACCCACCAAACCCTCCCTCGTTCTCTTGTTTTATTATGCACAAATTGTGGCTTATGTCAAGGTAGGTCTAAACACCAAGAACACACATGACCGTATTCATAGTGAAACTGTTGCATTCTCTAAACAAAAAATGAAAAGACTCACTCTCAGCTCGAAACCCAGTGTTTCCAGTAGCTGGCACGATCCTGGCTTCTCGCAAAACTGCACCACACAAACAAGAGCAGGAAACAAGAAAGTGTAAAATATATTTTACTCCATCAGATCTCCACAATAGAGTGTCTGTGATCTCATTCGCAAATGCCGCTAATTTACACCTTTACGGCTTCGAGGTTGTCGACGATCACGCGCATTTTTTTGCAAAAAAGCGTGCGAGAAACAAAAGGCCTTGCAGCTGGGCAGCTCACAGGGGCTGTTCGGCGCAGTCTCCTGAACTTGTCCTCGCTCGCTTCGTTCTGGATGTTCTGGATGATTTTGAGCGCCGTCGAGGTCACTCGCAGGAACTCGCGCTCCTCGCAACTTGCTAGCAGCGATGCGAGCGGCTCCTCCATACTCTATCTCCTCAGCGAGCGGGTCTTTGAACTGGTAGATCCGCGTCTTCTAATTCTGCAAAGCGTTCTTCCTCGTTTATCGTCCGATATCTTGACCACTGCACAAACCGCGCCCAACCCGCTCACGCATGCGCACATTCATGCGAACCACGTGCGTATGGGGTCCCGCGCGCACGCGCATTATAAAGTCAGCTCAGAGTGAACTATATTTCAATAGTAGAAGGTTTGGTCCGGGGAGTAATGGTTTTCAGAGCTTGCTGAAAATGACACGTGGAGACTTTCTCCACGGAGATGTCTTCGTGCATCGCACACAGAGCAGCCTCCTGGCAAAGTGCAACAACCTGGACGAATGAGGGGAGGGACAAATGAGGAGAGGAATAAAGTGAGACACTGACTTCGGCTCCTGAAAATCCTTGAGATAGCGAGACGAGCTCATCCACTGACACATCACTGGCAACTGGCATACTCCTGAATCGAATCTAGAGCAGCAAAAGGGACTCTAATTTTCGAGATACACACTTTTCATGGCTTAGGATTTTTGATGTTCAACTTGCAATTTGATGATTATAGATAGGGGCCAGGTAAACATCCCCGTAACCTGGAAAATCTCTCTCCTAGTCTCGTCAGAGGGAAGAGGTACGTAGATCATGCGATCAATCCTCCCAGGTCTCAGGAGGGCCTTGTCGATCATGTCAGGTCTGTTGGTGGCTGCAACAATCAGGACATCGCACAGGCTCTCCACTCCATCCATCTCCGTCAACAGCTGCGCCAGGACTCTGTCCGCTACCGAGGAACTACCACTGCAACAACAACAACAAACGTAATAAACAGCAAACGTAAACAACAACAAATGTCGTTGATTTTCATTAGTGAGTGAGACCTGTTTCTTGCGACTGCTAGAGCATCGATCTCGTCAAAAAAGATAATTGCAGGGGCAGCAGCTCTGGCTCGCTGGAAAACCTGCAAAATCAAAATTGAATCAACAGTCAAAATAAAAAGAGTATTCACTCACCTGTCTTACTGCTTTCTCAGACTCTCCAACCCACTTACTAAACAGCTCTGGACCCTAGTATAAACATGGTAATTTGAGAAATAGAAATTGTGACTGTATCAAGCAGGGTTCTCTTCATTACCTTGACTGCAATGAAGTTGAGTCCACTCTCGGTGGCCACAGCTCTGGCTATCATGGTCTTACTGCAGCCTGGAGGGCCGTACAGGAGAACTCCTTTTGGAGGTGTTATGCCAAGTCTTGAGAAGGCCTGGCAGAGAAACAGAACATTACAAGAGGGCGGTGAACTATAGATGTGAGAAGGAACCTCTGGGTGTTTGAGTGGCCACTCCACTGCCTCTCTCAGTCTCTTCTTCACCTCCTCCTGACCTCCTATATCTCTCCACAATACCTGGACACATGCATGATAGAACACATTCTGAAATGACGATCTGAAACAAAGACATTTCTCTCACCTTTGGCACCTCCAATGTTACTTCCCTCATGGCACTGGGCCTCACTTCCCGGGAGAGCACTCCTCACATCCTCACATCTCACAACCACACCCTCCCCCTCTTCCCCCTCCCCCAGGTGCCTTCTCAGGGCCTTGTGCTGAGCTACAACACCAAGACAGAAACTTTCATGGACCACAAATTTTTTTATCCACAAAATTATATGGGAGAGACCCTCTCAAAAGTTTTCTTTGCAATTTTTAAAACGAAAGGGGCCTACCCTGCAAGCATACAGTCCTCAGATCTGATCCCGTGAACCCATGGGCAGAGTCGGCCACACCCCCAATTTCTTCGACAGTTAGATAATGTGCCACGCCCCTCATCAGCACCTTTAGTATCTGTAGTAGGGACCAAATAACATTACAGACCAGTTTTCTCCTCCTTACATAATTATAATACAACTGACTTGTCTCCTCTCCAATGCTGAAGGAGTAGTGATTTCAATCTCCCGCTCAAACCTCCCCGGTCGCCGTAGTGATGGATCGATATCCTCAATCTGATTGGTTGTTGCCACGACTACCACGTGTTTCGAGGGGTGTGTAGCATGGAGGTTGTCGAGGCAACCAACGAGGGAGCAAGCAACAGCTTTTCCCTCGGGCGACGCTCGAAGAAAGTGGAGATCCTCCAGAACAATAAGACTTGGAGTCCTATTGTATTGTAACACAAATTAAAAACAGACATTTCCAGAGACTAACCAACCTTTCTCTGGCATCTCTGAACACCTTCTGAAGCCTGGCCGAGCCTTCACTGCTGCAATGATAAAACTCTTGGCAAAGTAGAAAACGTGTATGTTGACAAAAATTGGGCAAAAATTTCACGAAACGTTGTCAAAACGCGAAATTCGTGAAAGATTTCTACCAAACAGTTCTCCTGCTATAGAGAAGAGACTGACCAGACCTGTGGAGGTCTGACAGGGAGAGAGAGACGACGTGGGCTGAAGTCTCTGAGCAGAGAGCCGAGACGAGGAGGGACTTCCCCACTCCCGAAGACCCATACAGCAGAACTCCCTTTGGGAACTGGACACCTGAGATATAATTTAGGTCTAAACTTAATCTTGCAGATACTACTAGAACATCACTCATCTGACCAGTGATAGAGGGGTTGGAGAGAGGGTAGAGCACCAGCTCCCTCAGCAGCTGCTTCTGAGGAGAGAGCCCTCCAATTTCCCCCATAGTTATCACCCGCCCCTGTAATACAGGTTCATTAACCACCACAGAAGAGGGAAGACCGTACCTTGTGTTTGTTTTTCTTGCCACTGGTGACAAACACCACCTCGGTTTTGGCTGTTATTTTGCACACCACCACTTCTACCTGTTCTTCTTCCCCTCTCTCGCTAGTGTCCCCTCTTTCAAGGGCAAGCCCCTGTATTTCCCGCTCTAACGAGGCACACGATTCCTCCCTCCCCCCACCATCAATATCGGCAAGTGCCAGCTGTCGACAAACTGATTCCGTACCGGAATGAGCCCTGTCCACCTCCATCCCTGGTGTACTGGTAACGAGGTGTAAATGAGAGGGGGACCCCCTCGTTGCAATGGGCGACTGAGAGGGGCTGATGCGTGGACTGTGTTCCAGCCTCAATCTGGACATGTCGAGATGAAGGCTCTCCTCCAGGAGGGCCGTCAGATTCCGAGGACACCCGAGACTCAGTCTCGTTCCCATGTCTGGTTCCAGACCAGCTGGTACCACTCTCTCTACTGTAAACTGGACGTCTTCACGGCAGAACGGAACTGTAACCTTGTTCCCCTCACACAGATACAACCCATCTAAAGTTTGTAAACAAGTCTTTGTATATAGCGATATGAATGTGATAACTGACCACAGAGAGAGCGAGTATAGTTCTTGAAGGAATCATTCAGCACATTGATGTCAACAGGAGACCTAAGAAGAGAAAAGAAGAAAGATGTTTTCATTTTCAAGAACTTGTGCCTTTTCGTTTAATATTTGCAGAACATTTGGAGTCACTCACTGTGGAGAGAGAAGGAGTTGGCTAGCAAGAGGGAGCTGTGATGGAGAAGGCACCCTCCACACCTCAACCCTCACCACTCCCTCCTCCCTCCCCTCCTCACAACACCTCAGAACATCAGGACACACTGCCACAACTGAAAAACACCAAAAACTTTTTAAAAATGTGTTACAACTTTGTTGGAATGTACCGTCAAATTCGATTTTCTTGCAGGGCCACGGTTTGCAGACAGTGAGTGGGGAATTCTGACTATCTACACCCCGCACTGCCACTGGCTGACTGATTCCCATTCCACACAGTCGCATGGTCTCGGGGTGAACCAGAATGGAATCAAGACGTCTGGGAAGATGCTCGCCTGGGAAAGGAAATTTCTTAGTTGCAGTTCGAAAGAATAATAATTATACCGATATCGAGGTTAGATGAGGAAATTGCACGAGCAAACAGAGATCCGGATACTATCGCCGTGTCGTAGCTCCGCATATCTCCGCCCACCTCTCCTCCCCGGACCCAGCAGTCGTCCCCCATTGGAGCCCATCCTCCACCTCCGCCGCAAGATTTTCGCTGTTTTTTTCTCGAGTCTGTACTAGAACGTGACGGTCTGGGGCTACTACCTCCGCTAGGCTTCTTGGTCTTGCGATAGGTGGCCGCTACGTGGCTTGCGTGCATTCCAACTCCGATCTGCTTGCCCACGTGTCGGAGGTCAAAGGACACTTTATATAGTGACGTAATTCAGGGCTGACAACAACGATGGCTTTTCCTTCTTTCTTCGGTAATCTGTTCAGCGAGCTCATTCCCGGCGGGGATTGCAGCAGCATCGAGCAGGACCCGAATGCTGATCCGTTTGACAAGTAAGGATTCACGATCTTGGGCTGTTGAGGTAGATGGTTGCGTCATATAGGGAGGTGTGCCAGCAGTTTCGAAGGTTCAACGAGGGATTTGGCAGAAGTCTCGACATTGAGCACCGTTCCCCTGAGGAAGGTGGAGCAGCTACTGTGAATAGAACCTTGACACACCTGTTGTTTGCCTGCAGAGAATCGAGGGAAAGGAGGGAGTAATGACCCGCAATCGCTCCGTGATGCCATCCTCAGTAGACCAGACAGTAACAGAGAAGAAATGGTGCCAAACTATTGATTGGTGACTAACACTGTTTTGACCCTCTCTCTCCTCAGCCTTCGCCCAGCAGATGGCATGGATTTGGTCGTCGTCGACACCCCAGAGAAGATGAAGGTATCTTATACAAATAGATGGTATATTCCTTGAAAATTGTAATGTTGGACTCAGATCTTGATGAGAGGGTAAGGAGAGATCCAAGGCTCTTGGACAAGTATCTGGATAGTGGAGATGTGGAGCCCAGGCCTCGGAAGGATTCAAGCTCACCACGTTATCATTCCTCTTACTCCAGTGTTATTATCACCGCCAGACCAGACGGGGTATATTAGCTGGTTTTTCTATGCCCCTCCTATGCCATGTACTGTACTTCTTTTTATGCAGACCGTGGAAGAGCACAGAACTGTAATAGATTCAGATGGGAACGAGAAAGTATGTTTGTCAGTTCAAAGATTTTCATAACTCATTTGTCATAATGCAGACAACAGTGACATACTCTGATGATGGGAGACAAAGGATTGACAGAAAGATGGATATACAAGGGAAAATGAAAGACTTCTGGGACAGAATATCCAAGCTGTAAAATGAAGCAATAGATAAATGAGTAGCTAGCTGGTGATCTCTTGTAGTTGTGGTGGCTCTAAGAAGAGCCGGTTGAGAGAAAAGAAATGAAAATGGTTGATAGCTCAGCCGCCGAATCCGTAGAGGGTGCGTCCTTGCCTCTTGAGGGCGTAGACGACGTCCATGGCAGTGACGGTCTTTCTCTTGGCGTGCTCGGTGTAGGTGACTGCGTCACGGATCACGTTCTCCAGGAAGGACTTGAGGACGCCGCGGGTCTCCTCGTAGATGAGGCCAGAGATACGCTTGACTCCTCCACGGCGGGCGAGACGACGGATGGCTGGCTTGGTGATGCCCTGGATGTTGTCGCGCAGAATCTTCCTGTGACGCTTGGCGCCTCCCTTTCCGAGTCCTTTGCCTCCTTTGCCGCGGCCAGACATGCTGCTTCGGTCTTTCTTGCTCGATGAAAGTCTTCAAACAAAGAGAGGAATGATGCCGTCTCGAATCGTGTGGCGCCTTTTGTAGTGCCTCAGATTAGAATTCTCCCGCCCATTTGAGCCGGACCACATCGGATTTTGTGGTCACACGAGCGAAACGCATGCGCACAATTTGATCCACGCAAGCTAGCTAGCTAGCTATCAGTTTCTTTGTGCGCACGCGCGAGAGTGGTGTTTATGACTATGCGATTTGTATTCACACTTGCTCATGTGTTTTAATTGTTAGGTTTTCAGGAGTGAAAGTACAGTATGAGCACAGTGCTGGCTGCAGAAATCGAGGCAAACAGACAAATCACTGGGAAGACGGTCGCTGTAGCCGGCCTCAGACAGAATAGTTAGTCTTTGGAAGGTGAGTCCAGGGACCAGATAGCTGTAGTGGTGACTGAAGAAGACTGGACGAGTGCACGAGGGAGAGACACAGCGACCTCTGGGTACTAACCACGGTAAGAGGGACGTCGGGATGTAAGGAAATACAGAGTGGAAAGACCAAGGCAGCTGGGGAGACATCCCTGGAATCAACAAAACACAAAATTCATCACACATAGTGAGGGGTTGAAGGACTACACCTCTCAGGTTCTCATGAAGCATTTTTGCTGCAAGTTCCATTAGTGGGGGCACAGGCTCACGAGGTGCTCTTATTTTTAACACGCAACAACCTCCCCTATTTTCTTCCTCTTCCTCTTCCCCATCTTCTCCCATGGTTGCATGATGACTGAATGATACATTGCAGCCCTGTACTCCGAGAGATTCTATTCCAGCCAGGGAGGCGGGAATGGAGTAGAGACATGGGTTCCCATCTGCATACACTACCTTTAGCTTTGTGAGAGCTGAAAAATCTATTGCACAAAAAGAAATCGCTTGCATAACAAGTTTCACCAACCAACTGTTTTTAAACTAGGTGTAATTTATCAATGAAGCTTGGTTTCCCGTGTTTTAACTCACCAGATGGCAGTGTTGTAAGTCTGTTTCCACACACTGAGAGGTAGGTGAGGTTGGGCAACTGTGTAAGCTGGAGAGGAAGCTCCATGAGAAGATTCCTGTCCAGGATGAGTGTGTGAAGACTTTGGCAGTGGATGATGGAGGAAGAGAGAGTCAATAGCTCGTTGCTTGCTCCTACCACTTTCCCCAAATTGGGGGCTTCCCACATCCCTGCATAACAAGTCAAGAATGAGGAAAAGTAACAAAGAGACTACAACAGATGCCTTGTTACATTCCTATAGATATTTTATAGCTTTGATTTTACTTACTGTGCTCACTGAGCTTATAATATACTGAGAACCAAGGTGTAGAAATAACATACCATGCGGTAGACGTGAGATTTTGTTTTGTGTGAAATCGATGCTCCTGAGATTTGCTAACTTCCCAATGCTTGCAGGTAGGGAAGTCAACCGGTTACAAGCCACGTTGAGAATTTCCAGAGAACTGAGATCACTCAATTCTGCACACACGAGAGCATATTTTGCACTCCAGACACATTAACAGACACATTAAAACAGATGCAGTTTTATATAGCAGGTGGAATAAGTGCTGATTGCGTTGTTGGCAGAAGCTATATGTATATACCTGATGGTAGATACTCGAGGGAATTGGAATGCAAGTACAACTCCTTCAGATTTCTCATTAGTTTCAGCTGATGAGTAGGCTGCACAATGAAATGACAAAAACCTTAAGCTAATGTGATGACAGATTATTGCAGTATATAGCTTTCTGTAAACGTCATGAAGTACCAATTCGTGGATGATGTTCCCCTTGAGGTATAGTTTCTGGATTTTCTTTCGGCAGTAAGTACTCTCCGTCAGAGCATGTGGAACAGTGTGGAGATGGCCGTAGTTCAAGTTCATCTCTGCGACTCCGGCATGCTCCGCCGCGCGGACGTTTACTGCGATTTTCTCTCCCTCTCGCTCTTCTCTGCTAGTGATTGCTACCGGCGACATTATCATTCCACTCACTGCAGACACAAGTGCAAATCTGGCTACAAGCCCGGAGTAAAATGCTAACTTACTGCGCATGCGCCACGGTGAAAGGGGCGGGGAGCATAGTGAGCGCCAAATAGAGTGAACCCACGTGTACGGCAGTTGCAACGGCCATGAGAAATTTGGAGGCTACGCGCTACGTCTCTTTGCCTCCTTCTCCTCTCCTTGCGGGGGCCACACGCTGCTTTTGTGTGGACGGAGACGAAGGAGTGTGGGTTGCGACGGGGTCGGGCTTGTGTAGAATCTCCGCGGACCTCGAGGTACATGTGTAGCTAACTGGAACAGCTCCCAATGACGCCCCTGAAATGAAGACACCTCTCTAATAAGGACACCCTTTGCTTCCCCAAGAGCAGTTCTTGTGTGCAATTTTCCTGAAATAGGATACCTTGCTAATGTGGACACTTTCTTCTGTGTCCCGATTTAGAGTGGTTCCGCCTTAGACTCCGCCTCCCTGTCATACTGTGCCGCAAATATTCAGGTAACCGTCGAGGTCCGTTGGTTGAGGCTGGTCACATGAGCCCCGAAGATTACGTCATCGCCGTGGAATGTGTTTCGGGGGAGTTTGTGTGCCTAGCGACACGGAACGGAGACATCGTGTTCTACAACATCCAAACCAGACATGTACGCTGACTATGCCTGCAAGTAAATACGAGTCAGTACAGGTGAATGTTTAACTGGGCAATGAGAATCTTCATTGATGGAAATTCATGCATTAATGATTGGCAGGATTCAGGTATTAGTAAATACGAATTGGTATATACATTAGAACTATTATGGTGAAAATTCATGTGTGGATGGTCAATTTTAGTAATCTCTCTCTCTCTTGAAAGTGACTTGCTGAAGCACACAATGTGACCCCTCACAGGTGGAGAGTGTAGGTAGTGTCGAAGGTGGACTCCTGGGAATGACGTGGAGTCCGGACCAGGAGCTGGCGGTGTTCAGTACCGCAACGGGCTCCCTCCTCCTCATGACGCACACACTGGACCCGTCTGGGGACAGTGGGTCTGATCTGGTACCAGTCACCGAGGTCCCCATGTGCCCCGCTGAGTTTGGACGAGGTCAGATTGTGGCGGTGGTACATACATTGGTAGAGGCTTCAGCCCTTTTCCTAGGGCAGCTCTTTTTGTTTGAAAGTGTTGTCCTATGTGTAGAGTATTTATCCTATTGCCCCTCGCAGCTGAACCAGTGACTGTGGGGTGGGGAAGGAAGTCAACGCAGTTCCATGGATCAGCTGGAAAACAGTCGGCCCGGGAGATGCTTGTACAGGAGTCAGGCTCCGCCCACCCATGGGATGACCTTCGACCTCGAGTATCGTGGCCCGAGGAAGGAGAGTATTTCGCATGCAGCTGCATTGACCCAGCCTCAGGTCTCTCTCCCTCCTTCCACTCTTACCTGCCCTCTATAAATATTGACTCAGGTGGTCGGCGGTTTCGTGTGTGGACAAGAGAAGGCGAACTGTTCTCTACCGGTGAAGTGACGCAAGGTCTTGAACAGTGCCTTCACTGGAGGTTAACCCTGTCTGTTGTAATACCCATGGCTCCAGACACACACTGTACCTCTCATTCAGGCCCAGTGGAGGTCTAATAGCCTCATCACAGAGCCTCCCTCACACTCATCAAGTGGTGTTCTTTGAGAAAAACGGTCTTCGTCGCGGAGAGTTCTCTCTCCCTCCACACCCATCCTGGCAGGTCAGCAATCACATCAGCTGGACTTATCCCCACCAATTGCAACCCTCCCTTTACCTCTCTCCCTCCCCATTCTCCTGTATGTCACTGTACTATATTGGCCCCTGAACTGCTACCATTGGGTGTATAGGCAAGAATGCATTGTAATTTCCCAGCATTGTAGAAGCTTTGATACACTCAAAATATTGAAGTATGTATGAATCATTTCCCATCTCCCTGAAGGATGGCAAGTGCGTAGTTCAGGAGTTGTGTTGGAACTGTGACTCCACTGTTCTCTGTCTCTGGCTGGAGGAGAGGAAGACCCCCACCTCACACCCTCTCCAATCCTCCAGTAACCAACACTCTATCTACCTTATTAACCCTCGGCGCGCATGCGCAGCGACTACACTTATTGCTAAAAGAATGTGTAGGCACTCATTTAGATAGTAAGATACTGCTTTAATTTTCTGGTTGGTGATTTTGAAAAATGTATAGTGACCGGTCTATTTCATGGTTAGTTTGCGATAGAATGTGGTGCCAGCATTTGAGAGTGGGTATGTGGCAACTACACTTATCCTTGGAGACGGGGTCCACTGTTAAATGTACTCCATTACATTACCCCACTTGGCGGCACAATCGTTCTTCCTCCCATCTTCCCCATCCCCCAGTTCAGCTCTGGGTAAGAGGTAACTACCACTGGTACCTCAAGCAGGAGCTATTCTCACCTTTGACCCCTGACTCCGCCCTCTCGGCCAGTCTCCAGGCAGTACAGTGGGACCCTGTCGTTCCTCTTCGTCTTCATATCATCACCTCAGGTTTTCCTCTCTCGGAAAAGGTTTCTTAAGAGTCTGTGTGTATATTTCATGCAGATGGCTGTTACGTGTGCTGTGACTGGAGGTGGCGTGTGAACAAAAGCAGCTGCCTCACCAGAGATAACTTATGTGATGTCGCCGTCATTGATGGAGGTATATAGCTAGGGGGAAATCCCTGCAATCAGATATCCTGTGCAAATGGTCACAATTATTCAAGCTGCGTAATTCACAACGAATGTTTTTTCTACAGATCGTCTCTTCCTTACTCCGTTTCGTCACGTGACCACACCCCCTCCGATGCGTACCCACACACTCTCTCTCCCTTCCCCCATTCTCACCATCTCCCATGCCCCGCCCCCTCTTGTTAACGATTTCCTGGTCGTCACGGCGACAGCCGAGGTGGCAGTTTTCTCCTACTCCCAATCAGACACACAGCGAAAGACTCCATTCCCTCTTCCCTCTCCAAAACTTGTTGGGTTGGCAAGGTAACATACTTGTAACATTGGCAATGGAAAAATGATTCAAGTTGAAGAATGCAACAATTTTACCAAAAGTTAATCTCCCTCCAGCCTTTCATCTTTCCTCCTATCTCACCCCCACCTTCCATTATTCAGAAATAGGTATTGGTGTGTGTTGTCTGTAGGTTGCCAGTGGCGACATCCCTCGTCCGCCAGCTGACCTGGCAGGGGGCGGAGTCTCTGGTGGGTGTGGTCTGGGACGCAGCGTCCGGCCGTGACTCTGTGATGGAGTTTCAACTGATTGTTGATCACGAGAGAGGAAGAGTGAAAGTGGAGAAGAGGTATGTATTAGTGTGGTTGATTATGGGATTAATATTACATCATAATGATGTAATGTCTTCATCAGTATAGCTACAGTATCTCACTTAAAATTGTATGATTTAATGCTGTCACCACAATGAATGATATCTTATCCTTGCCGATTTTTACCTCCATTTTCTCCAGGTGTTCTCATTCGGTCCCACCTCCCCACTCATCCATCATCTCCCTCTCCTCACACCCTCACTCCGGCTCCACCGTTGCCCAGGCAACCGACGGAACACTCTTCTGCCACTCCCCCTCAGAGGGTCTGTTGCCATGGAAACTGCCCAGTGGTCTTGCCCTCAAATTCCCAGAAGGCACTTGCGATCACGTTTCTGTTGCTACATTTCACGACAAAGTAAGACATATAATTATTTTCGTACTTTTAAAGGTGGAGTTAATATTCCAGGAACATGTTGTGGGGTTAAATGAGTTCAGACGTACGCTGTATGTTGACGACTGCAAGGTCGCTACCGGGGCAACGACCTTTGACCTTCACAATGAGTTTCTGATCTACACGACAGACAGCCACGAATGCCACTTTCTCAGAACTTCTTCCATTTCCGTTGTCGCGACCTCTGACCCCAGTGGTATGTGGAACGACGTGTGTTTTGCAGGTTTCATTCTCGTTCTACTGGTATGGAATGCAGACAGACCCAATCTAGTAGAGGAGGGGAAGAGACGAGTGGAGCGGGGGTCAAAGATCGTTGTCGTGGTTCCCCATGACTCCAAACTTGTTTTACAAGTATGTGCAATTTTCTAATATTAGTGCTAATTACTCCCTTTCCTCAGATGCCCCGGGGTAATTTAGAGACTATCTATCCCCGGCCTCTGGTGTTGTCGAAGGTCCGTCGTCACCTTGACAACCGTTGCTATGGTGATGCATTCCTCGCCATGAGGACAAACAGAATAAATCTCAACTTGATCTATGATCATAACCCACAGGTGTACGCTGTAAAGTGTCATGCATGTTTGAGAATCTCACAATTGAAAAATTCTTCTTCCGTAGGCATTTCGGGAGAATGTAAAGGAATTTGTAGAGCAGCTGGATTCCGTGGCCCACATTAACCTCTTCCTCACTGAATTAAGGTTTTGTTTGGTGACGATTTTAACCCCTGGAATACTGAATTTCCGTGCTAGGGAGGAGGATACAACGAAGACCATGTACCCTGTGCCACTCGGGAAGGAGGCGGAGAGAGAGGAGAAGGAGGGAGGAGGGAAGGTTGACAAAATATGTGATGCTATGAAAAAAGTGCTGTTGGAGTTGGACGAAAACAAGTACCAAACAACTCCTTTCTTTCTCTCTCACTGTTTACTCCGCTCTTTCCCCCCCAGGTACTTGCTATCAATTATCACTGCTCATGTCAAGAAATCAGAACCGGAACTGGAGACTGTACTTCTCAGAATCAGACATCTCTCACAGCAGGAGGAGGGGAGGGAAGTGAAGAAGATAGAGGAAACGGAAAGAAAATGTGGGAGGTTCGAGAAAGACAGGACAAGAGGGGGGTGAGGAGACAAGCAGGGAGGCAGGGAAGGTAGTAGTGACGGCTGAAGAAGCTCTGAAGTACATTCTGTTTCTGGTGGACGTGGACCGTCTTTATGACGTTGCCCTCGGGATGTACAACTTCCAGCTGGTGCTCATGGTCGCCGAGAAATCCCAGAAAGTCAGTCTCTTCCCATGAACCCATACCACTATGGTGGTGATCCATGTTTCATACGTTTTATTTATGCCCCCATTCCTCATGCCCCATACCCCATACTCCCATTCTGCAGGACCCAAAGGAATACCTGCCATTCCTGAACCAGCTTCGCAGACTCCCCGGCTCCTACCAGAAATACAAGATTGACATTCATCTCGGCAGACACCACAAGGCCCTTCACCACATCAGCCAGTGTGGGTAGATTACTGAGCATTTACTGAGATATCCTGAGAGTTTACTGACCGTGTTGCAGCAGGTCCTGAGAAGTTCGACGAGTGTTTGGCTCTAATTAAAGAGCACTCTCTCTACCCACGTGCTCTGGAGATATTCCACGACAGATCATCCTCAGAGCACCAGGTGTGCATCAACTGTGTCTGTCGTCATGGTGACTGATTTTAAAACACACAGGCAATCGCACGTTGCTATGGAGACTATCTCAGTGACGAAAAGGACTACAAATCTGCTGCAATTGGTAAGTAAAGAGTTAATAAACAAATTGTGTGGGAATGAAAAATTTTACGTTTTTCTGTAGTTTTTTACCGTTGTGGATGTGTAGCGGAATCAATGGAGAACTTTGAGAAGGCCGGAGACTGGCAGATGACCTTTGCACTCTCGGCTCAGTTGGGTCACGACAGAGGACAAAGGTCACAGTTGGCACGGAAGATGGCCGGTGAGCAGCTGCATGTGGTTGCACACACTCTCTCTAATGATCTTCATCTCAGCATCTCTGAAGTCTCAGAGAAATTACTCAGCAGCTGCAACTGTTCTCCTCCAATATGCCGAGGTATGTATACGTGTACTCTGTATGTAGCATTGGAAGTGGAAGTAATCATCTGTTGGCCACACCCACCAGGATGTGGAAGAAGCCATGGTAACGCTACTGGAGGGAGGATTGTGGGACGAAGCTCTGAGAATAGTAAGTTCCATTTAAGCTGAATCTCGAAGCTCACCTGACTTGATATACTGCAGCCACTGTTTTCTCTTTCTCTCCCTCCCTCTCTCTCCTCAGGTGCATCTGCACGGCAGAAGAGATCTAATAGAAACTCACTTCAGACCTCAACTATTAGAGAGTTGGTGAAATTTCCCCCTACTTCTTACAACAATTGACTTCCCCCTTCCCCCTCATCCCCTCCAGGTCACCAGAATCACATGTCACTCCTTCCCTCCCTCTCCACCGACTTGACACGACACTCCACCAGACTGCAGCTGGTCCGAGAACTGAAACGAAAGAAACAAGAAGCCATTCTAGGTGCCGTCCCGACACAAATCGTTGGATTCCTTCATTCAATTAACCCTTTCCCCACAGAGGGGACGTATGCTGCGGACGAGAAGGACGCGGACTTGTTTTCTGATACGAGTAGCATGACTGGTCGTTCGGCAACCACCTCCCTAGCAAGCAGCAGAATGACTGGGTGTGTCAACAAAACCAAATCTCATTTTTTACACAAATGGCTCTACCATAACTGTCTAATACTGAAACACACTTTGCTCCATCAAAAAAAGATCCTTCGATTAACAGGATCTGCACAAGAATTTCGAGTCTTGAAAATTCAACTCTCAACAGGGCTGCGATTGTTGTCACAATTTTTCTTCTGTTCAGGAAATCGAGGAAGAATCGAGGAAAGCGTCTCACAGGAGGTGGAGCCTGAAGGAAGGGAGTAGCCATGAGGATCTCGCTCTAATGGAGGCCATCTCTGACCTGTGTACCACCGTGGACAGTCTGCAGGGTAAGGAAGAGAGGGAAGGGAGAAGAAGGGGTTGGCGAAGGGAAGGGGAGAGAGAGATAAGAGAACTATAAGAATACGCACAAAAGAGGCATTAGCACAAGAAGTTATTTCAACTCTCTTTTCTCATTCTAATAATTATTATTCAGATGAAGTTCCGTCTCTACTCCGAATGCTGCTCCTCTACAACCACACCCAAGAAGCCAAACAGCTGCATTCCCTCTTCTCAGAGCTTCTCGACTCGGTCAAGTCAGCCGTCGAGAAGGCGTGGCCAAAACAAGCCCCACCCACTACACAAGTATGTTAATTGCTGTTGCATTGTTGTTAAAACAATCATCTTCTCGTATTTCAGCATGTACCTATTACTGGGCCCCAGGCCACTGTTAACAGTATGTTGGCTTCCATGGCAACCACTGGGGAGCAGATTCACGGAGCCAATGGTATGTTCTCATAGTATGATAAAATTGTCCTCAGCTTCATTTCATATGTGGACAGCTTGTATGTCTCCTTATACTGTGCATCATTAACTTGATGTGTCCCTCCCACCCTGCACCCTGCTACTTTCAGGTGAAGAAGCTGTTCACTTCCCTCGTCCAAAACTGAGAGATGTGACGCAACAACTCAGAATATCACTGCTGCTATGACAACCATCAACTCCACCCACTAAATATTTGTGAATTCAAAAAAACATTTTATCAATGGTTTATTGCAATCAAAAAGTGACAGAGTCATTAGATATTCCCCCTGGCTGCCCAAATTACTATAATGATGTCGTGATGATGTAATACAGATGATGTAACAATGACATAATCCTAGACGGCTTTGACCTCTCCTGTCTGAGGTCCATAGTTCACGTAGACTTCGGGAGGAGTGGAGGGGAAGGACTGGTGGATGTAGCTGACGGCCGCTCCTGACAGCTGGAACCTCTCTTTCTCCACCTGCACCGTGAGCGTCGCTACTCCACCTCTCTCTCGGAGGTAGTTGGTCACCATGGTGATTATCTTCTGATCATTGGCCGACGGTGCCACCTTAGAGAGAGAAGAAGAGGTTGATACTCTGCAACTCCAAGATGGGGAAGTGGACTGACCTGGACATGAATTGTCCCGGCAACGGAGGAACATCCTTGCTGCCAGAAGTGGGCGTCTGACCAGCTCACCACTCCATCCATTAGAGGGAGCTGAGATAGAGAGGGGGGAGGGGCAAGAAATAATCCTATAATCCATCTACGAGCGTGCACCGGTAACTATATATTGTAGACCACCTTGAAACTGCCCCGCAAGACACAAGTTGACCATTGCATCCTAATACTGTGGTATACACTTGCCACTTTCTTTCACCAACTACATATGCAGCTCATCAAAATTGCTTCGCTCCATTAATTCAACAAAAACCCTGTATATTGTATGTACCTTGTCCAGAATTGGGTAGAGCTGTTCATAATTCGGTGTAGCCAGAACTAATATCTCGGCTGACTGTCGGAGCAGAGGGACGACTGATAAGATGATGAGAACGGCGATGAAGACAGAGCAGATGGGGTCGACAACGTGCCAGCCAAAGGTCTCGACCAGGAGAGAGCTGATTATCACGCCGACACTTCCCAGAGTGTCGGCCAGGATGTGGAGGAACACCCCTGTATGGCGAGGGAGGTAATTAGTAACACTATACTCAATGTGTTATTATACCCAACAAATATTGTCTTACCTACCTTGCATGTTGGTATTGTGGGAGTGTCCATGGGAACCGTGCGAATGCCCATGACTATTTGTACTGAACGTGGCTATACCCACCAGATTGACTAAGAACCCAGCCACCGACACCACCTGTAAACAACAACAACAACACAACAAGAATGTAAACACAGAAGAATGCTCGGGTAAACTATCCTTATCTCGCTGTCCCTAGCACTATTTCGACTAACAAGGAGTTTATCAGTGTTGATTGTGGGAGGGTCCAGTAATCTCGTCAAGGCTTCACTCAAGACAGCCGTCGCTATGGAAACCAGAAACAGGGAGTTGACGAAGCCACTCAGAACTTCAACACGTCCGTAGCCAAACGAATAGAGCCTTTGCCGAGAGAGGAAGAAAAGGAGAGAGGGGGGAGGGGGTAGGTACACATGATGAATGGTGCGAGTGATGAGACCACGCCCACCGACCACACCCACCTGGTGGGTTTCCATCGGACCACAAGAGCGGCACAGAGCCCCACCACCAGGGCAGAGCAGTCAAACAACATGTGGAACCCGTCAGAAATCAGTCCCAGACTGTTGGTCCACACTCCATACAGCATCTCCACCACCGTGAACCCCTGGATTGGAACAGAGACACTCTTACTCTTACTAAGCTAAATGCTAAATGTTACTAATCATGAATGTTGCCTTATTGTATACTGCCACATTCACTATTGTAACAAAACACTGGCATTTAAACCCCCATCCACCGAGGAACATAGGCCACACCCACCAGATTAAGCAGGAGGAAGTAGAATATTCTCCGAGAGTTTCCGTCGTCCATTATCTTCCTCAGACTGTCTCTGACGATGGAGAGGAGGGAGGAGAAATGAAGAGAACGTTGGGTGGAGTACAGGGGCAACCCCGCTGACGAGTAACCAACGAGGGAGTAGGACGACGAACGCGGAGTCGGGTGTGTGAGTGTCGCCGTGGCAACGAGAAAGAAAACGGTTGCCATGACGACCCCGACGGAGAGCCCGTGCTCCTCCCCCTCCCCCTCTCGGCCGATGACGTCATTGTCGTAGTGTTGCCAATAGGATGAAAGGGAAGCGATAGCGAGGGCGACAGAGAAAGACAGGACAGAGCCAATCCTGCTGATTTTTGAGTGATCAACTCTCTGAGATGCTATTGTGCTGGCATAGAAATCAGCCAGTTGAGCCAGCCCGAGGAGGAACAGGAAGGAGAGGGAGTGAAGAGAGGGGAGGGGTTCTGACTGGGTGACCAATTGGACTACGACCCAGGGGAGGAGGAGAGAGGCAGAGATGGTCGCAGAGAGAGCCTGCAGTCTCTTTGAGCCTCCGACGTCTACTGCCAGCTTCCGACCGGAGTTTCTCTGGACTATACTGAGGCAGACTCCAGCCAGCAACACCACTATACCTCCCTGCGTGGGTGGGGTGGGGGTTAAACTCTACTGACAATTCACAAATTCAACTTTCAACTTTCACAAATTTCACCAATTTTCAGAGAATAAGTACACCGACGCTGACATTTCAGGAGTAATGCCATCGCAAAACCATGGCTCAACAAAGCATGACTCATACATGTATTAGTATTATTGATTAAGGGGGAGGGGGAGGAAGGGGTCACCTTGTGATCCGGAACACCAAGAAAGGAGAGTAAGCGATACATAAAGTGGGTGACAGAACCTCGGTGTGGCCCCTCAGCTGAAACAATCTCGCTCAGGAAAAACAAACACAATTTCAAACTCTCTTACTTCAAAGAGGGTTCATAGATATATACGATAATCGGTAAAACTCCAGTGTTGAGGATACGATGTTCCAAAGGGATAGCAGAATGGTCGTTGTCAAAGAGAAGTAAACACAAAACACCAAGCAGGAAAAACACAGCACCTCGCCCCTACAACGAAGAAATAAGAAGATCATCACCATTCCTAAAATGGCTGGATCGCCAACCTTTCCCTGAGTGTGAGTGCATGCGAGGATGGAGAGGAGCGAGCCGAGGGCGAGGTCGCTGTGTTCGGAGAGAAGGACCGTCCTCAGAGGCCCACAGAGAGACAGCCCCACACACCAGAGGAGGCTGGTCAGCAACACTAGGAGGGAGTAGCGACCAACACGAACCCACTGAATGTGAGAGAGACAGGTTGCCGTAAAGAAAGTGTCAGGAAAAGAGCTTCGGTGCAGCTTCAAAAACTAACTGTTGTTCTCGATAGTCTTTTGCCAGATGTAAACGGTTTCTGCAGCAGAACAAACCCCACTGCCGAACTGTGTGAATTTAGAATGACGTCATAGTTTGAACGCAAGCCCCGCTCGATCAACCAACCACCAACCACGCCCACCTGGCTTTTAGTACGAAGAGAAAGACAGCAGCCGGTAGCGTTTTGGAGACGGAGTAGGCGTAAAACACCGCGGCCATGTAGACTATCTTCACCACAACCACTCCGACCACGGGGGTACCTTGCCTGCGCCGAACACAAAACAGTTACGCGAGTCCCCGTTCATTCGCGAACGGTCACACCAGCCTACCTTCCCGGGTCTATTCTCCCTAGAGAGCGCGCCGCTAAACCCTCCTCGTCCATCTCCGTCCCCTCAACGGCTTTGAACGAGGAGCTTGTGCCTTCTCGTATAAACCACGCCCACTTTCCCTCACTCGTGGGTGGGGTCAAAGGTCCAAATGGACACGCCCACTTTACTCAGCACTCGTGGGCAAGGTCAAAGGTGGAAATGTCCGCAAGGGAGGTGGTGACGATACAGTGTGGTCACTTCTCTAACTTCATAGGCTCCCACTGGTGGAACATTCAGGTTCGCATGAGTGTCTCTGTTGTTACTTCTTAGTACGCAGGTGTAAAATCACCATGAGGAATTTGCCCGTAACAAACTAGCTAGTGAAACACGTGGAAAAACCCATTTTCTTGGGAGTTCATAAGGCCTAGCGAGCCAATGCAGAAAGTCATTCGATTGAACGTCTACAATTGGCAGCATTTTGTGCTATGTATGTGTGTGCCCTATCTAACACGTGATGCGGTGCCGCTGATCTCAGTGCAGGAGTCGGGATTCTGTTATGATCCAAGCACCATTGAAAAGATAGTCCATCTAAGGATGACAACAATCGCTAACGGCGACGAGAAGAACTCATCACTCCTCCGCCAAGGACGTGCGAACGACCCCCACACTGGGCGAACGTTCCCTCGGAATCTAGGGGCCATACAAAACCTAAACCAAGTGAAGATGAAAAAATAGAGACGGGGAACATTAGGAAATAAAGGAGAAACAAGAAGTAGAGAGAGAAGGATGATTTTGCCCCCCTATGACCACTTACTGATGGGTTAAGCGGGAAGTCTCTCTACGTCGTGTTCGTTTGTTTCGACGGTATTGCTGGCGGCGGGTATTTGGGAAATAAAAAGGAAATAAAATAGAGAGTCGGCAGATGAAAATAGGAGACCGGCACGGCTTGGGGGAGGGGGGGGGCGGATCAGGGACGACTAGTCAGCAGTGATAAGAAATACAGGCAATGTATTCCGGTCCGCCCATTCGTGCCCGCGCTTCCGGTATAGGCATAGACTTGAGAAGCAAACTAAAGGAAATACCCTGCAGCCACAGGGATCTCTGGATTTTGCACGAGAGGTATGAGATACCTCCGGGGATCCCGAGGGAGGAGGGGTCCTAAGCGAGAAGTCCGTTGCCCGCGGGAAAACGAATGCATTGTTATGACCGTAGCAGCTTCTCGGCTAGGATGCGGAGTGCGAGGAAAGAGATGCCGAGAAGGAGGGGCGGGGGGGGATACGGGGGAAGGAGATAGAGAGAGTGGAATGAAGAATACAGGTGTGTTTCC